ATCCACCGTGCACCGCACAGTAGATCGAGTTAATAGGAGAGGTCAGACATACATTTTTTGGCTAAAATTTTAAATTTTGATGTTTATATAGTCATAAAGTTCATTTCAAGGGGTATTTCTGAAAGAAAATTTTACGAAAAACCCAACAAAACGACTCTTAAACTTCTCTGTTTCATATTTTTGAAAATACAAGCTTTCAAAGTTTCTAGATTTTGTCTGATTTCTCTTATTGACTCGGTCCTCTGTGCGCCGTTGGGGCTTTTGCACTATGACGTCACGAGGACGTTTTCAAGTCGGCGGAAGGACGAGCGCAAATACTCGACCGACACCGAGACGCACGGACGTATGTTTCATTTGGACGTATTCCTGCCAAAAGGAACTATGCGCTTTATGACGTGAGCCCTGTTATGCGTATATTCTTACAAGTCTCAGGGCTCAAGTCTTAATGCACGTAGTTCCGTTCGGCAGAAATACGTCCATTTCGAAATGTGGCCTCCCGATCCAATCGGATCCGGGCCGGACTCATCTGGGAGAGATGACGGCTCGGATCGGAAGTACCCAGCTGGGTTTTTATTCCGCGTGTTTGCACATCCGCCGGCCGCGGCCCGGGGAAGTGTCACACTCGCTGCTCAGTGTGTCATCGCGAATTCAGGTTTACGTGCGATGTTATGCACACGTATCGTATGATACACGCCGATATTATGTTCCGTGCTCCCGGCTCCCGTGTTCCGCTCCCGTGTTTTATTCGTTTCATCCAGGGGTGCTTTATTGGGCTCCGCGACGCGGTGACCTGGAAACACCATAAATCCTTTACGGCTTTCCCGCCAAGCTCTCGTCCTCCTCAACTTCGTCCGCCCCGGTTGCCGCGCAAAATATTTCCAAAATATTCGTGAGGAAACCTTGTAGAAAAATGCGAAGATAAGATTTCCAAGTGAAGACTTTAAAGTTACCGCCTACCCATACCTTTCACCGCCAAAAAATAAACTAGGAGGTTAGGTATCCCCGGTAAAAATAACGGCTATTCTTCCAATGTTAAGATGCACGTAATTTTTTTGGAAATACTCATTCTGTGTAGAGATGAGTGTTTTTTATAGTAATTGATTGTCTCAAATGAGTGTATCGTGGGAAATTTAAGTAAATCAGGCTTCCAAGTCATAATTAAAGTCAGACTTTCTCACCTGGGTCAACTTCCGGCTAAAAATGCTTTTAAGTTCTTTATTTTCAAGTGCGCGCCTTAAATTAAAGTTGTGTGGAAATTTTTGCACGTAATTTTCATTTCGAAAACTCACTCGTTTCAGTAGCCCCCATAAGATCAGGGGCGGACTGGTAGTCGAAAAGTTAGGAGGTGACCTAAATGTGGGGGCCCCTCTAAAAAGGTCCGGGGGCCCTCCCCCGGAAAATTTTGAAAATGTCACACTTTTTAAACGAAATTTTAAGCATTATTGGAGTTAAATTCTACAGTTCTTGAACTTCAAAATATAACCCATTCTCAGGATTCTTCGGGGGTCCCTTCATCACGTAGCTCTAGGCGACCTTTCATGTCTCTTAGAGACAAATTTTCAAGCATTTTGGGGACATTTAGTGACTGAAAAGGATAGGAAAATTACAACATTACGGGGGGAAAACGATGACTCGAAAAAATTCGCCGCCGGGGGCCCTAGGGTGCGTCAAAAAAAATGAAAGTCTGAAATGTTCCGCTCCCCAGGCGGCAATCGATGACGTTTGGTAAAAAAACATGTTTGCCAAAATTTGGGCCGATTTCAATCATTTTAAATGGTGCCAAAGGTCAATTTTGTGATGAAATTATGATATTTTGGTTTAGACCTCGATTTCGTACAAAAAACTCGATTTTACGCTGAAATCGTGCGTTTACGAGAAAAATGTCAAAGAACTCGACTTGTAGAGGATGAAATTTTACACTAGGAGGACGTCTTAGTAACCGATAAAAATCAAATTAAACTAGAAAAACTCAACTCGGTATTTATTTTTTTGGTCCTCAGAATTTCCGAGGTCTTACTAAGTAGAGGTTTAAAAGACTCATTTTTCACGAAAATAAGTCGAAAGAGGGTATAAATGAACTGTAGGCAAGTGTTGAGGATGCAAATGTCATCAGAACTTCCTCAGTTTCAAAAAAAGTTCCAACTATTTTGCACAATCCTCCAAAAAGTGTACGACTCGAGAAGCAGGATCGTGCTATAATAGTAGGGGGAAAGTGCGGTTTGACCGGGAAAAATTGCGTAACAAACTTTCCCTATGTAATCATCATCAGTAGGTCCCCCTGAACAACTTCCTAAAAGTTAAAAATGGCCCGACCCCGGAATATCCCTCAAAAAAGTTAAAATTGAAAATGGCGGCCGTAATAAGAGGGTCTGGGAAATCGGTATTTTAAAATGCTCATTCTGTCTCATCATGTGAGGTATGTAATTTTGGTCGTAGATTTCATAAATAAATTCCGCAAGGCCCTCCGGCCAAAGGGAGCGCTCCAAATCAAAGATGGCGGCCAAATGTGAAAGGCAGGAGGCTGCATTTTTTTAAATATTCACCGAAGGAACAAGGAAAGTGAAGTGTCTTAATTTTCATGTATTTATGGCCCAGAAACTTAAATTTGATGTTATAAATGTATTTAATAAAGGAAATTAAAGGAAACATACGACTACCGAGAGAAACGTAAGCTCAGAAGGGGCCTTGCGGAATTCATTTATGAAATCTACGACCAAAATTACATAGGAAATGCTACCTCACATGATGAGACAGAATGAGCATTTTAAAATACCGATTTCCCAGACCCTCTTATTACGGTCGCCATTTTCAATTTTAACTTTTTTGAGGGATATTCCGGGGTCGGGCCATTTTTAACTTTTAGGAAGTTGTTCAGGGGGACCTACTGATGATGATTACATAGGGAAAGTTTGTTACGCAATTTTTCCCGGTCAAACCGCACTTTCCCCCTACTATTATAGCACGATCCTGCTTCTCGAGTCGTACACTTTTTGGAGGATTGTGCAAAATAGTTGGAACTTTTTTTGAAACTGAGGAAGTTCTGATGACATTTGCATCCTCAACACTTGCCTACAGTTCATTTATACCCTCTTTCGACTTATTTTCGTGAAAAATGAGTCTTTTAAACCTCTACTTAGTAAGACCTCGGAAATTCTGAGGACCAAAAAAATAAATACCGAGTTGAGTTTTTCTAGTTTAATTTGATTTTTATCGGTTACTAAGACGTCCTCCTAGTGTAAAATTTCATCCTCTACAAGTCGAGTTCTTTGACATTTTTCTCGTAAACGCACGATTTCAGCGTAAAATCGAGTTTTTTGTACGAAATCGAGGTCTAAACCAAAATATCATAATTTCATCACAAAATTGACCTTTGGCACCATTTAAAATGATTGAAATCGGCCCAAATTTTGGCAAACATGTTTTTTTACCAAACGTCATCGATTGCCGCCTGGGGAGCGGAACATTTCAGACTTTCATTTTTTTTGACGCACCCTAGGGGGCCCCTTCGGGACCTCCGCGGCAAATTGTTAAGAGGCGATCGCCTCCCCGCCCCCATGGTCAGTCCGCCCCTGCATAAGATGCCATGTATTTTAGTCTTTGCTACCGGTTCCTAACCTCTTTCTGCGCTGGAAGGTACGGGTAGGTGGTATTGGATACTCCCTTTCGTTAAAGGAGCGACGTCTTAGGCACAGGAAGAAGGGATGAATCAACTTGGGCTCGAAGACACGTTGCGTTGGGCGGTGAAAAACGAGGGAAACGAGGGAAAATGAATAGGTACTCAAGAACGGATTAGTCCAAGGAACGGACCCCCCTCAAGCTGAGTTTCTCCACCCCCTCCCCAACTCCCCCCCCCCATCGCACGCGCCAAATACCCGTCACAACGCTAACTCGGCTTTCCTTCCAGCTGGTAGGCAGGGACGAGGCGGAGAGGTCGTGGAAAGATAAATCCCGCGAGCTGATTGAATGAATGAGTGAATAATTTCAGTTGTCAGTGAATGAAATTGATTCTAATAAGTTTGATGAAAAGGTAGGGAAAGCGGAAGCCGGAGTGCGTCGACTTTTCGCCCGCCCTTTTTTCATTTCCTGCTTCCACGGCCGGGAACGGCGCGATAACTCAGCCGCCTCCGCCTCCGCCGCCGCCGCCTTCATTTCGGCTCATGATTTATTCGCCGTTTCGACACCGCCATGTTGTCAAGCGATTGGCACTCCGGCCTCGGACCGCGCTAATTTACAGTCGGAGGTTTTTTCAGCCCCCGTCACGCAATCGAATTACCGGATAATCCCCGTCGACATCGGAGATAAATAGAGACTCTCCGCAAGTATCATTTCTTCAGCTCACCCTGGTAAAAATTGGCGATAGGAGCTGCGTTTCAAAATACCGTAGGAGTTCTCATAGCCGACTGAAGAAGGCGATAGAAAATCATATAGCTGGCTGTAGAAAGTGGAAAAAATCATACGGCCGGGCTACACGAATGAAGCGATAAAAAATTATACTGCCGGGCTATAGTTCATATCGCCGGGCTTTACACTTTATCACCTGGCTGTCGCTTTTTCGCCATCGGCTATAAAAGGCTATAAGAAATTGTGTGCTTTGTAAATCCTTAAGTTTGTACGGAATCACTTTAATATTTACAAAACGCACATTATATTTTCCTTTACTTACATATTTCTTTTCATCAATTAAAATGAGAATAATCCATACAGAGTGTGCAAACATTTCAAAGTCATGAGTTGAAAAACGCTGACTACACGAGATTAAATATTAGAGCCTAACACAAAGCGGAGCGGCGATGCACTGGCGCCTACAAACCTAACAGGGATACTTCACGCATTGCGCAATGCGTGAAGTATCCATGTTAGGTTTGTAGGCGCCAATGCGCGTTTTGCGCTGGCTGCCCGCCCGCCGCGCCGCGCCGCAGCGCACCACGGCGCTTGAAGCGACTATTTCACACCAGAGGTATTGTACAGTATCATTCGAAAACGCGATCATAATTTTTCAGGACCAAATCGGGACTCATCAGACAGATAACAGGTGGAATTCTAGTAAACGTTGGAGTCAAAAGTAATTCCAAAAAAAAGTAGAATTTAGGAATGACCTGGGGCCGAATTTTGTTGGTCTTGTCACCGTAGTTAAATATACCTAGGACAAGTTTCGACTGCACTTAAGTTCGGCTTATCGCTTCTGATTGGCTGGTGCGGTGCGGGTTGGACTCATTGATGGATGTTGCACCTCCGTGTGAAAGAGCCGACAAAATTTGGTCCCTGATATTGATGATGGCATCCAACCAGCATCAATTTCGAAAGCCTAACCTCAAATCTTTCCGTATGCTCGACCGATCAAGAGCGAAAATATGCTTATGGATGCTGTCAAAGTCGCAACACAGGGTGTCTAGCACCACGATTTTCCCGATTCTGTCAGGATTTGAGGTCAATCAGAATTTAATCCCGATTTCATTGGGATTTTAGGAAAAATCGGTTGTAAAATCAGGATTTGAGAAAAGTCGGCCGTCCGAATGGATGCATTCGCATACGCTTTTTCAGAAATTTTAATTTTTCTCCGCAAAAAATCAGGATTTGATCAGGATTTAGAGAAATTATGAAATCAGGATGTAGCAGTCAAAAATTAGGATCTCCCAAAATGAAAAAAAAAAAAAAAACTTGACACCCTGCAACATGATACTGGAAAAAGGGATCTAAAATAAATTTTCTAAAAGATGTGTGTGTTTTCTGTTAACAGGATGGACGAACGGGCTCGGCGATCACAACAGCGAGCGCCGGCACGAAGGGGTCAAGCGCCAGCTCTCCGTCTCGTCAGATTCGAAACTGCTCGACGAGGACATCTGCGAGGAGACCCGGGTCATTCTCCGGCCCAAGAAACCTCCTAGACCTAAATCCGAAGTGTTCCTTACCTCCAAAGACCAGCAGGCCCATCAACGGCGGACCAAACGATTCTCCGCTTTTGGGGTGAGTGTCTTCCACATCCTTCTCCGCCTTCACCTGTTTTTTCTAAAGCACCTTCGTAGTTTATAGAGAGAGACATTGTCCAAGTAACGTGGATTATTATTTCAGGGTGTCTACAAGTCCGGAATTTCCCAAAAGTCCGGAAATAGTACTGATTTTTCAAGGGCAATCCGGAAGTACTGAAAAAGTGCGGAAATTCCGCAAAAAGGTCCGGAATTTTTTAAATTTTTCGTCATTTTTGTCGTAATTTCAAATTTTTGAAATTTTTGAATTTCGTCGAATGGAGGTACTGAAAAAGTATGGAATTTTTCTGTTAGGGGAGGTACTGAATTTCTTGAGAATGTAGTGAAAAAGCACTGTAAAAGTACTTATTTTTGACCAGCCTGTTTTAGTAGACACCCTGCATTTACACTAACTAGGAGGCAATGCCTGCGGCTGCTGTGCGGTCCTATCCCCAAAAGACGCTTCGAGCTGTCCAAGGCTCGCTCTGCGGAACCCTTTTAGTTGATCTAAATAGAGCGAGTTTATGTCGGAACTATCCCTGTCCAGAACCGTAAAAATCATGAAAATCGGCGCGGTAGATATTCAGAACATTAAACAAAAATAAACGTATACAATTTTAAAATGGGAGAATCACACCTTCAACACGTAATGTAAAAAAAAAAAAAAAAAAAACCTGGGTTTTACCCAAAATCTGACCAGAGCGGGCTGATCGAAAAACCTATCCACAGCCGCAAAAATCATGAAAATCGGCTCGTAGAACGGTACAATGAACCGTGACAAAAAATGAATATTCAGAGGATTATAGAGCTCATAGCAATACTCGTAATACTAATGATAGTATTGCAAGAAAATGTACTTTTATTGTGTCACAATATGCATAATTCTCACATAAGCTTTTCATCTTTATTTCTTCAACAATCAGCGTGTTAATTCCTCAAACTGCAATAATTTGTATCAACATAGTAAAGATTTCATTAATGGAGAACCTCAGAAGCGCGACCACGGCCTTAAGCGCCTTCAAATCCGACTGATACTTTCCGCTCCGCCTGGGAGTTAGTTTAGTTGCGTAACCTAACCAAACCCAACTAAGGTCACTATTAACCATACGCACTCACGAGTGTGCCAGCTGGTAACCTGTATTCAAGAAGAAAAAAAGAGTCTGTTTGAATTCAAAGCATGTTTCTTTACTGCTGAGTTTTCATATCGTTTTATTCAATACAAATAGATTGAAATTTCCCGACGATTTTAAGAAAATAGTGCCCGCAGACGAGGGAGATATAAGCATGCGCGACGGACTATAAAAGCAAATCGTACGATTTCAAGGGGATTTTATACTGGTCTGATGTTCTCAGCGTGGTTTCCGTGCAATGTTCCCTCAGACTTGTTGTATGTATAGTAGTTGCCTGTATAGCTTGTGTGAAGCAGACCCATTTCTATGCATCCTGCTTGACTGGTGTAGGACAAGGCAAAGGGAGTGACAAATTTCGGATAATGGAAGGTCCTAAAATGAATTTGCTATTCCTGTAAATTGAATAAATAATACCGTTCTCAATTTACTAACCAAGTCAATACATCCACGGAACAGAATGGAAAACAGGTGTAGGGAACATTATTCGGGATGGTCCAATATAATTTTTATTTTTGTGTTGCAGGGCGATTCTCCTTTCGGGAAATCGGAGGCTTACCTAAAACTAGAACAACTAGGCGAAGGCTCTTACGCTACCGTCTTCAAAGGCTACAGCAAGTAAGTAACTTATCATTTCGTATTTTCAAATTTATTTCCGTAAATTATATTCATTACTTGTGTTAATGTAGTGAAAAATTGTGAATCTCAGCAGAAATAATAATCAAAGCAGAACAAGATTTTTTTTAAAGTTTAACGAACGATGCACCACTAGGAGAAGTGCAAATTAAGCATTACGAAATATGTTTTCTCGTCAAAATTTCAAGTACTTGGAGCACGATTTATGTAACGGAAAAGGGTAACATTTTGCACAAGGAAGAAGTAAGCACAGTTCTCTCATGGAATATCATAGACTTTAGGATATTTCTTTGTTAGAAATGACGTCAATTTCTGCGCCCTTACTTCTCTCCGACAACCCTCGCATTTTATAAGTAGGATCTGTGTGCTGTTTTTACTGAAACATTCGGTTCATTCATACTAAAACCGGCTTCCTGTAGTGTAGTGGTTGTGGTGCGCTGGTTCTGCGGCCAGTAAGTCTCTGGTTCGATCGCCGACCAAGCGACCCGAGTTCGACGATGGTTGCCCAGAGCTGGTTGTTCAGTGAGGAATGAGAGGGGTTGGAACTCAAGCTGAGAAAAGCAAAGGATTGCCTCTTTCGCGGCACTTTAACAGGGTGTCTACTGTCAGTAAAAACCGGAAAAATCAGGGAAACGTCAGGAAAATCTTTCAGGGGTCAGGAAATTATGAGCGCTTCAATTATTTGTGAAACAATTGATTCAATTTATCAAATATGTTGATTTTTCCAATAAAACAACGGTCAATTTATTTCGCAAAAAATCAGGAAATATCGTCTAAAATATCAGGAAAATCCAAAATTAAATTTTAGTGGACACCCTGTTGAAGTTGTATAAATAGTCCGTGGAATTTTGGGGAAAAATTCGATTTTAGAAATGGCGATGGGGGAGTGAACGAGTGATGCTCGAATTTTTGCACGAGGGCGTCGCACAGTGGATCGAGTCGATTTGAGAGTTCGGACATGAAATTTTCAACTAAAACTGCAAATTTTAATGTTGTTTTCGTCACATTTTGAATATCAAGGGGTGTTTTCAAAAGAAAATTTTACGAGGAAACCAACGGAACCACTCTAAGAACCTCCAAATGTTGTATAAACGGAGTTTTAAGCAATTAAAGTTTCCGAATTGTGTCCGACCTCTCCCATTGACGCGGGCCAGTGTGCGGCGTGGTGAGGCGCGAGCTGTAAAATAATTGCGAGGTCCCGAGATTAAGGCGTTTGTATGCACCGCCAAGACCGAGCTGACCCAGTTCGCCGCGAAAATGAGCCCGTCGGTCTCGGTGTCGGTGTTGGTGTCGGGGCGCGAGGAGCCGGGGGCACGTCCCCACTTCAAGACTCATGCGAGGCTCTTTAAATTTCCACATTCACTCCGCTAACGAGCAGTGAATCAAAGAAAATAACTTACTCGCCAAAATTACTCACCAACCCCCCTCGACTCGGTATACAGGGCGATCCGAGGCCAAACCGCCAGACTGGAGGAGCCGGTTCTATCGGTCAGAATAAGACTTTTTTCCTCTTGAAATTTTTTCCAAAAGTGCTTTTTAACGGAACCACAGCTGCCGCCACCCCCCCCCCTCCTCCCCTCGAAGTTTTGAGGTTCAGCTACACGATCAAATTGAGCCATCAAACTGAAGCTCTGATTGGTGGAAAAAGATCTGAGGTGAGGATGCGACCAATGAGAGGCCCAATTTGATGGCTCAATTTGATCGTGTAACTGGACCTAAAGGAAATAATTAGTTTTTTCTGCATTTTGGCAACAACAATGCCTCGAATCTCATGGAAATTGATACGTACCCATAATTTGATACGCTGAATTTATCAATAACATCAGGACAATTGGCATCTCTGTGAAAAGTGGGGTTTCTGGGGGTTTGCAAAATACTCCCTTTGCACGCCAAAAAACCAAGTGACATTATTTGGATTACATTTTGCAATAAGGAGCCACTATTTTTGGGCCATTTTAGAAAAAACATACGTGCCATTGGTTTCTGTATGCAGATATGTGCTTTTTATGAAAGGAGCGAGAGATAGCTAGTGGTTCCTTATTGCAAATTTTAATCCATTTATGGATGGCCTGTCATGTGTGGATATGAAAGGGGTTGAAGCACTAAGCATCGGTTTCAAATTTTTGGGACCGATCAATTTGAAAAATTGGTAATAAAGGAGGGGGGGTTGACACCTCCCTCCCCCCCCTCTCATAGCATCATTTGATTAAATGCACCGTGTTAGAGAGTGTGCAGTTCTGGTCAAGAGGAGAGAAAACTTACAAAACGAAAAAAACGAAAACAAATCAAATAAAATAAAAAATGAGAATCAAAACTGATAAGATCATATGGCTTCTCATTGATCTAGGCATGTTTGTAATGCATGTTGTTAACCCAGCATAGAATGATCATCTGGAAGTGGCAACCAAGTTCTGTCTCGCTTTGTTTCAGAAGTATAATAAATTTAAAATTCCATCGACAGTATAGTAATAATGTATGATAATAGGTTTTAGGAATGATGTATAACAGTTTTTGAATGTTAAAAAAAGTTTTAAAATAATAAAAGCATTGCTAATGTCTGAACCTTTTTGCATGTCCATATATTTTTTTTTCTTGGGAGAAGGGGAGGCATTTAAAGCTATGACTGATGAGCTAAGAAGCTATGAGCTTATGTTTCATTGAGCTTCCTTGGAAGTTAATTTTGGTAGAAAACAAGCAAGTTTCTGGTAGTTTCCACTCCTCACAGGTAGCAATTTTATACGTTTGACTTTTTGTACCTAGGCAAACTTTCTCCTCTTCTCATTCACTTATTTTATTCTAATCCTCTAATGTGTTGTTTTCCTCAGTTTAACCAACCAAGTTGTGGCGTTGAAGGAAATTAGACTGCAAGAAGAAGAAGGTGCTCCGTTCACAGCGATTCGAGAAGCATCGCTGCTCAAAGAACTCAAACATGCCAATATTGTCACGTTACATGATATTGTTCACACCAGAGAAACCCTTACCTTTGTTTTCGAATATGTTGTACGTATTAGTTTTTTCTCTCTCTGAAGCATTTTTTTTCAACTGCAATAATAATACAAAAAATTAAAGAAAATTAAATAAATGTACCTAATAAAATGAAGTTTAAAAAAATGTTAGACAAAGTGTCCGCCGAATTATTCAGAAGGGCCACACTTACATTGTTGGATCAATTCATTTTTGTGCTTTTGTGCTCTCTATAGAGGGCATAAAGTTGAATTTTAATAAAAACATTTGGAACCCTGCAAAAGGGTGGTCTGAAACTTTAAATAGCTTTTCCTGGAAACTTCGACTTCTGTTCCACAGATTTCAAATCATCAAAACTCCGGTTTTATGTGAAATTTATGGGTGTTTTTCTTGCCCAAGTATTTTTAAAATACTCATCTAAGCATTGGTTCATGAACTTAATTTATGAGTTTGCCAGTACTAAGGTTCCTTTTACTCAGGTGGTCTCATATTTTCAACTTTGAATCGTATTTATAAATATTTGTGTATATTTTATTATATTTTTTTGTCAAACAGCACACCGATTTATCCCAGTACATGGAGCGACACAGTGGCGGGTTAGACCATCATAATGTTAGACTCTTCCTATTTCAATTACTTAGAGGGTTGGCATTTTGTCATCGAAGATTGGTGCTTCACAGGGACGTCAAACCCCAGAACTTACTCATTAGTGAAATCGGTGAACTAAAATTAGCTGATTTTGGTAAGTCATTCAAGTAATTTGGTCAGACTTATGATAGAAAAATCTTTCTATCAACCTCTGACCTTTTTCGTGAGATTGTAACTTGATAAAAAAACTTAAAAACCAAATTCTACTCAGGGCCTTTAGTTAACTCCTGGAAAAGGAAGAAACACGATGATGAATGCATCTCTCATTGCCATGGTTTTCTCCACTGCTAAGTTAAATCAAATAATTTTTATACTCAGCTGAACTAAATTGAAAATTATTGAGCTAAATGATAGAAATACAATAAAAACTCATAAATATTTACGTTAGCAAAGAAACAACCTACTAGCTCAGAAAGTAGTTACTGAAGTGTTCGGGCAAACGTTGCAAAAATGTTGCCAAAAATTTTGCTATTTTGAGAAATACAAGTTTGATGGTTCGAAATTACATGGATCCTTATGGCAGAGAGAAAGTTAAAACTGACTCTTTGATGCTTAAAAATTGGAATTTGGGAGCGAATTTTCCACAGATCATTCACAAAAACTAGTTTTAGGTACTTGAAATCATTAATATCTCAATTTTTCAAAAACTTACTAATGCGCCTTGTCCTCCAAGCCCCCAATTCTAAAAGTGTGATGCTCAGGTTGTAATGTATGAAAATTTGATGCCTCCAACTTTAAACTTGTATCACAAGAAGATTTTTTCGTTCTTTTCAACATTTTAAATTACTTATTGATTACACTTGTATTATTAAACACTCGTACAAACGTAGTTAACGAGTACACAGATTTTAAAAAGGATAACTCCAAAGCAAAACTATTCCTCATACAACAGAAAAATGTATTCGTTCTAAACTAAGTTTTCTATGTATAAGTAATTTTTTATGAGATTTGATTTCATTATTTCATTATTATATTTTCTTTCAGTACTATACTTCTATTTGGTCTTGTATTGATTTTTTCCGTTCTTTTTCTTGAAAATTTCCAGGGCTAGCAAGAGCGAAGTCAGTACCAAGTCATACTTATAGTAATGAAGTAGTCACATTATGGTATCGGCCACCAGATGTTCTGTTGGGTTCAACAGACTACTCAACTAGTCTAGATATGTGGGGAGTTGGCTGTATATTTGTCGAAATGGTTACTGGTGTACCAACATTTCCAGGAGTCCGAGATGTTCGAGATCAACTTGATAAAATATTTAGGGTAATTATCATCCTCAACTCCAAAGATATAGTAATTGCTCTGTGTTCATTTTCAAAAAACGTTCCTCTCCTTTTTGCAGTTTCAGTAAAAAATATTTAATGTGTCTAATTAATCTATTTAAAATTACTCATAGTGTGCTTCAAACTATTTGAAAGTATAGAAAAATTCAAGAGAAGCCTTTTTTTTAGACAGGGTCAATTATCTCCAAATGAATGTGTGAAGATAAAAATACCGTGCATTTTCGTTAAATCTCTCCTCTCTCTTACGGGGAAAAACTAGTTTGCACTGGAGACACAAGACAAGTCTAACGTAATTTTTTTGCGTCCCACTTCTGCTAGTTTAGGGCTGGTACGATAACCGAGGTTTAAAGCGACCCTGAAGTGGCAGATGTGAAACATAAAAAAGATAGATGTCGCCAATGTCTGTTACCCGCCCATCTTGTGTCTCCAATGCAAGCTGTTGTTTCCGTGTTCCGTCAAAGTAGAAATTCAATACAATACATTTTTTACATCATTTGGTTAGTAAATGCTGGTTTCAAAGGACCTTAAATCAATTTATCAGAAATATATGAGATTTGCAATGCAAAAAAAAAAAAAATTGTAACTTTTTTCAATATTATCAAAATTAAATTCAACAAGAAGAGCTCTCTTCAATTAGTAGGTAGGTGACTTACACCACATTCTAATGCATTAAGAATAATTTTACTGTATTTATTGTAACCTTTGCTATTTTGTCAGGTGAATCAATTATGAATAGTAGTTTCTCTAAGTTCATATTTTCTGTTTTACAGACTTTAGGCACTCCAACGGAGGAAACGTGGGAAGGTGTGACAAGATTACCAGGCTACAATGATGATATTTACTACTATCCACCAAAAAAATTGGGTCTCACTTTTACTCGATTGTATGATATTGTCGATGGAGAAAATATAGCCTCTTCATTATTGCAGGTAATAATTTATTTATTTTATTTTATTTATTCAGTATTAAGTGGTGCAACTTTGGATATCAATAGACATTGCTCCGGCAAGAGTCAGGTTTTCATTATTTGTGGTTATATTTGTATTAAAGGAAAGTTAACAGTTTGAAATTCCTCTTCAGGGCAGCAGGCTTTAGTAATTAATAGATTTTTGGCGCTGGTAAGAAAGGCATCACTGTCCTAAAATTTTTTCAATTGATTTTGGCAATTTATTATAAAGACTGGCTCCTAGCAAACATATAGTGTCGCAAAATCTTGTGGATTTGATGGAGGACAGCAATACATTGCTACCATCTGTTTTTATATGAGTAGGCATTTTTTAATTTAACAAAAATGTCATCATTCCTCCTAACTTATTTTAAAAGTTCTAAAATGCAGATAGACATTACAGTTAAAAGTCAATGTTCTATGAAGTATTTTCTACAGAAGATACCTAGCTTTATTAAACCTAATATTGATTGTAAGACCTTCTTTTGACTTTTCATTACATCTAGCATTAGTTTAGCACCATCCCAAGCAAGTTTATTACATTTTAAATGAGAAAAAACATGTCTGTAATAGACAGATTTTATTCCTGGCGAAATCACCTTTCTTGCTCCCTTCATCTCCTAACTCATAGAGGCTAGTTTGTTAATTAATTTATAAGTTTGGACATTACCCCTCTTTTTCTTTTTTTCTTCACAAATGATGGATGAATTGTGCATCTGGGAAAGACGAGAATTTCAAAAACAACTTTTGCTGATGCCGATATTAGTAAAAATTTTGCCAGTGATAAAAATCTGCAGTTCCAAGCATCCTTAACTTATATTTTGTTTTCTCCTTTTTCAGTTACGTCCAGATAAAAGATTAGGAGCCGAAGAAGCACTAAGGCATCGTTATTTTGCGTCATTGCCGAGAAAGTTGTATGAGCTTCCAGATGGTAAGAATACTTTAGTAATTTCAGAAATTGCGGATTTCAGTGTAGCATGACTTTAAACTGCTTGTTCTACATTGCCTAAAAATGTGTAGGAATTGACATTGAGGCTCATTGATTGGCGTGGTGAAAGCTTAATCGTCACAACTTCAGAATGCAAAGATTTGAAAGGAATTGCCTTTCACATTTACTTTTACTGTTTTGCAGAAAAGTCTGAAGGAAGTGTAGGAAACTTTGGATTTGCATTTGAGAGTTGCCTTGGAAAGTCAGGGAAATCCCAGAGATTTAAAAAATGCAATAATTCTGGACCGTCGTTTGGCCCTCTTCTCCCTCAGCCATCTTGGCTGGAAAGCCCAGTTTTTAGGAACTAAATTAGCTTTTTGCATGTGCATTACGGCGCATGAAATAACGAGTTGGAAAGAATGGACAGGGTGCGCCAACTTTTTAAGGTGCCAGAATTGCTCAGCCCCCCCCCCCTCCCCCAATATTAAAGTGGCAAAGACTGATTATTAGGCGCATTTGGCAGGAGGCAGAAGAAAATTGCTCTAAACACCATACCTAGTGAAAACTTGCATTTGGTATTAAATGAAATTTTACCTGTTTACAGAGGTTTCCATATTCAGTGTAGAAGGTGTATCAATTCATCCAGAAATGGGTAATGGGAAGCCATTCAGCCGGAATGGACTCAAACTGCATCATCCAGGAGTAAATTGATCCGGCCGGATCTACAATTCGAGTTCCATGGAACTCGCGTCAAGGTTGTGATACTGACTGCTAAAAAATAATTAGAAGCTAGCTCAAATTTTTATTATCGTGTTTTTGTTATCGGTTATTAATGAATTCATCAATAATAATTATTAAATCTTGATCTATCATTAATTTATTACTATTTCTAGTTACTGTAAATTTGTTTTGTTCTTTGGTCCCTCGCTGTTTTCATGAATCAGTTGTTGGCATTTATCGAACAAACGAATTGACTCACCTGCAGTAGAAGATCCTTAGGAAACAGACTTGCAGGCGATTCTCATCTTTTTTTCTCAAGCTTGTTCTTTGATGTTTATTGCAAAGAGGTTTATTTTTTCCCTCTTTCGGGTGATAAACTAAGTCATTTAATTTAAATTTATATTCTAACGTCAAATCAATAGCTGGTTAAATTGACTTAAAAAGGAAAGAGATGAACAAAATAGTACGATTTGTCAACATTTGTAAACATTGATTGCTTGAGGCCCATTGGAACAAAGATATGTGTCCAGTAAGTGATAATAATGGGTTCAAAATCATGTAATGGTCTCCATTATAATCTGCACCTGTATCCCAGTTAGTTGTTGTTTTGATCAATTTAAACTTAGTTCATCCTATTCTGAAATCCACTCATTCCACCCAGACTTCATTTCAATTCAGCAACTTATTTTTAGTAATTTTAAGTCCAAAATAAACCTCACAATTCTGTATTATATTCTTGGTAATCATCATATTTTTTCTGTTTTCGAGCTCTAGGGCATCTTTTAAATCAAGTGTCTAATTTTAATAATTATGAAAATGTGCTTCTCCGTTTTATCTTTGGGCTCTCTTTGATAGAAGGGGGCTCCTCTGGAATCTGCCTTTTTATTTTTGCAAGCTGATAAATTGTGTTGATTAAAAAAAGCAGGAATTATTAAGCTCCAATAATTGCATTGTCTTTTCATTAAATGGAATTTTTGCTGGACGTTGTATCAACTCAGGTCCACTCTATACAAGTTCATTTATTCCATATGGAGGGCTTTTTGGAGACCTTATACCTCCTTTCTTCCCAGAATTTCGATAAAATACACTGAGTCTGAGACAAAAAACTAAACAGAAATGAGTTCACGTTTTTACAAGTTTTCCTTGTTACAAGTTTATTCCAACAAAATGCCCATATTTTTTAGAAGGTCTTAATGATTCACTGTGAATGAAAGGCAGATATTCATCTGGGTCAGCAAGCTCATTATTGAAATTTTGTTTTTGTCTGGCAGACATAGGTTAAACGGCGGAGCGTGATTGATCGGCTATGTCTTATCGCTGCTTTGTCATGCCTTTGTCAGGTGGAATAGACAACATGCTGTCGGGAACTCAAGAGGTGCATTTAGCTTGTTGTTAATTCCAACTGACAAAGGCACAACAAAGCAGCATAAGATAAAGCCGACTAACCACGATACGCCGTCAAACCTATGTCTGCCCGACAAACACAAAATTTCAATAATTGGCCCGCAGACTGTATCCTTCTTGTAGGTAATGACTACTTATTGACGTTGAAACTGCAAGAATGTGTCTCAGTTGTGGTGTCTGAAAATTTCCACTCTTAATTTATATTTGAAAAGGAGAACAAATCAACATCATGGTTTGAAATTTTTACAGAATATTCTTTACGTAGAGAAAAAAATTGCCGGAATTTCCAAAATAGGGCTTTCAGTAGTTTTCAAAATGAAGTATGACCGGAACGCCGCCAACAGAAGTACACATTTCTGTAGTTTTCACCATTGAAAGTCTTCCTTTGCTCTTATTCCTTGCCCCACCTTTCCCCTTCAAACATAACAAAAAAGAACATCCGAGAATTCATTCATTTTCTTCTAATTAAGTAATTTTGAAGCAGAATAACCATGATATTAATCCTAAGAAACGAAGAAGGATTGTAAATATGTGTTTAAAGTATGATGCAGATATTTCTTATGAATTTCACTTTTCAGTTCACTCCTTCACCACTTCGAAAAAATATAATTTTATCATGAATCACCCAGATCGTTTTTTAGAGTAATCAGATCTCACCCATCATTTATTCTTCAGCAGGAGCTTCCAAATGTATCTCCGCTGGAATGGAGAACAAAATAGCTTAGCTTACCTGATGTTATTTTTTCTTAAGTAGAAGATAATACTTTTAGAATTTCTGTGAGGTAGACACTGGTGTCTGGCAGACATTTTCTGATACTGCGTAGAAATATCTCCTTGAAATTGTTTCATCTTTCGTATTGTACTTTTGGTACTCTCTTCATGTATTTTTTTTTATAAACGTGATCGATGAAGTATCTAACTGTTTTTAGTACTGCATTGTATAATTTATCTATTGGAAGATTTTTCTGACGGATGATCTAAAATTTGGTTGAGATTTTCTCCAATTAAGCGCAAAACAATCAGGAATTTAGAAGTAAGCAATGAAGGCTAATTTGGAATTTGAAATTTTAAACACACATTTTATTCCTTTCATCTAATTACCATTGGTCTGTTAAGGGCATTTCTGCATCTCTAACAATAATATTCCTAAATAAAATGGGAATCTCTGGACTTAAAAACTCAGACTCTACGCACTGATTTGCCTGCTCATTAACTTATTCACAGCTGAAGCGGAAGGGCAGTAGACCCTCTAAAATGATGCTCAGATAGCAAAATAAGTGAGGAAAGTTTGAGGTCTTTTTAGTGAGCCCCATTTTATTTACTGTGGTACTTTCCTTGTTTTTAGCCTTGTTTAACGATTATTATGATATTATCTCTTCTTTAATAATTTTATGTATCTTCTGGTTTTAAATATTTTAGTGAAAGAGGAAATATCCCCATGTTAGCTTATATTGAACTGAGTCAGGCTAAATTTCATTATTGACTTTAAGCTGTCCTAAGATCTTAATATTTTAAATTGTTTGCGTGCTAATATTCTATTCCCTCTATTGTTTAAATCTGTTCAAAAACTAAGCCTGTCATTCAAATTGAAATGATCTGTATTGCCGCACTGGTCATTACTTATCAAATTTTTCCAACACTATTTTTTTTTAAAAAGAGGTCATTTCTATAAAATTCGCATCTGTCCTCTCCATATTAGTAATTTTTTGTTTCAAAGAAATAGATGGGTTCAATTGTTTCTTCTCTGTACATACTCAGTTTTTTTTCAGTCTGGGTCCGTAAGACCTTGTCCTTGCAAGTAATAGTTCAGGGAACTTTGCTGGGACAAGTACGCAGAACGTGCTGTGCGTCGTTTTTTGTCTCTTTTTTGAGCGCAGATGGAATAAGTTATAACTTAGCTATGACTTATCCTGTCTTAAATCTGGAAGCCTCCTCGCAGATAGACAAGGCCTAAGACTATGATAGGTACCTAGTTAATTAATGTGATAGAGATTTGTATCTACATATAAAAAAACAAAACGGAAAAAATGAATCCCTACTTTGTTGTCAATTCTCATTTGGAAAAATTACTCCCCTCTCCCTCTTACTCTCTCCTCTTGGATTTCTTTACCCTCGTAATATATTTTATTAACTGTCATTTGCTCTCTGAACATCCTCTATAAGACTCTGTTCTCAAGCTGCATGTATAATTTTGTTAGAATTCTGAACTAGGAAATTTCTCCTCAAATTTTTCTGTTCTGCTAAGGTTTTAATTTTATGAATTGAGTTATGCATTGAGCTTCTAAATTTTAATCCTTTAGGCTTATGAATAGATCTGTAAGAGGGCCTTCAACCCCTCTCTTGAGTTTCTACAACCCTCTCTCATAATGTTTAGGTAATTCAAACGATTTGCTCTCTTCAAGAATCAGGAGAATCTAGATATTTTATTTACTTACTTAAAGTACATTTAAGTTAGAGCCATAAATATCTACTTAAAAATTCATTCAATGTGTTTTAGACTGTCTCAAAACAAGAATTTTCTCTAAAAACATAAAAAAACAGATTTTATCACTTTTTTAAAGTCTTTCTTCAAGCATTATCAAACTTAAAAAAAAATTCCAGAAAATCTGTATCATTTTGTCATTTTGTATCATTCTTGTCAATTTGGAACAAAGCCCTTGTCTCAAAAAAGGTATGAAAAAGACAGATCAGTTTGCTCGAAATGGCACCAGAGTAGACATGGTGAAAATGCCTTTTTTAGGGACATCATTATGTGCAAATGTACCAGTTCAGCAGTTCAGCAAGGTTGCGGACTCATCGATTAATTTAAGCTGAGTGATTTTCAAAACGTCCATTTGTAACTTTTCTCTCGAGAGTGGCTTGTTTGATGTAGCTCTCGTAGGTCATAATTTTAAATTTTGAATTTTCAACTTTAATTTAAAAAATTACTCATGATTACTGTCTAGCATTCTGTTTTTTAGCTACAAACTTAAATTCGAGTGTACGTATTTAGCAAATGGGCCACAAGTAAAGGTCTAAAAGAGGTAAAAACATTACATGCTAAGTATCTCTTCAAGATCTTACATAGAAAACGATTTACACAACAGAAATTTCAGAACTCAATTCCTGAAGGAGACATTAACTAATATCTTTAACACAGGTCGAATGATAGTTAGGTACAAAGAACTTCATTTGTATCTTTGCAGTTTAATCAATGTTATTGTAAACACGTATACCTTGTTTGGGAGTTGATTTTCAGACTTTCTATTGTGCAATTCGATTTTTTCAGGAGATTTTGAAGAGAAATCATGTTGCGTGATGAAGTAATTCATACTTTGTCTAATGGTTCATTGAGTTCCTGAAGTGGAAAGCTAAAAGCTGTGCCTCCATAGCGCCTTCCTAATCCTAAACCTAAAATCTAGAGTGAATCGTAATAGCTTCAAAGGAATTTCTGAAAAATTGATTGATAATCTACGCGTTGAATGGTTAAGTTGAGTCTCCTCCTCCTCACCTCGGTTACTTTCCATTTTGAAACTTGCAAATTTATCAGCATCAGATATTAAAATTAAGATTTGCTGACTGTTTTTTCTTGTATCTGCTTTAATTTTAAGAGGTAATGCGTGTAGAAGATACTTGAAACAAGCTCAGATGCTTTTCAGGGTGGTCCATTTTTGGCTCATTAAAATTTTTGCTTCCATCACCCACATTACTTTTTGGGAACTAAGAATGCAATCATTGTCTAGAATACACACTCTAGAGTGTATAAAATCAATGTTACACAGATTAAATTTCTGGAAAGGAATTCAGAATTAAATTGCTTTTCAACACTCTTCCTCTGAGTTGTGTCCAGTAAACACACAAAAATAATAACAAAATCGTGTAAATTGTGTACTTGCTCCTCCATTAATAAAATAGTGAGGAGTCAGCAGCAAAATTGGATAAAGCAGTAAATAAGCGTCTTGTTAACTTAACAGTAGGTTTTTAAATTCTTTGAATCAACACCATTTTGTCATCCATGATAATAAGTCACATGCTTTTAAAATTTCATGCACCGTCCTACTAACGTATTTATAATTTCAGTCCTTAGAGTCTTTTTTTAAAACTTGAAAATCACGAATTTTCATTGATTTTTATACCTCCTGCCAAACTGTAAAATTTTATGTATAGTCAATTCTTAATTCATTTTTACCTACTTGTTCTATTTTATTTTTTAATTAAATAATATGTCTCTGTATTGTTTAGATGGGTTTTTTTATTTGCCAATTCCTCATTTTATCCTTCTTTCACTTCCTAAAACGGAGAGCTTGATTTGGAACACCTCATTATTTATTCTCCTTTGGTTTTCTTGAAATTTGACTTATGAATTGTGCTTGATGTATGATGTCTTTCCACAAGATTTCAGACCTCCAAAAAATTTAGGGGGGCAGGGGGCGCCAGCAGGGTCGAAGCAAGACCAATCTACACAGGTCAGTCATTCCCGAGGACGAGTTTTGGAACTTTACTGGGCAGTGACATAGTATTGAGTGCCTCCAATGTATTTCTTATGGGAGCACCCATTGTGACGTAGCATTGAGTGCCGTCGAGTTAGGGCCGGGTGGGGAGTGGATTTCATAAAGATGCGCAATGACTGACCTGTGTGGATAGGTCTTGGGTGAAGTTGAAACTTTCACATCTCATTTCTCATGAACGAAAAAGATATGTATCAATAGCAAATTTGCGTTAAAAATTGTAGAAAATTATCTACTTAAATAATATGGTCAAGATTTTCCAAACCCATTTACGCGTTTCATTGGGCATTTCATTTTATGAAGGTACTTAAAGATAGTTTAAACTAATTAATTCAAAATACTCTTATTTTCATTTATGCAAACATAACATTTTCTAATTTTTTGCTGAATTGCGTGTGAAAAAAAGTGGTCCTGAGATCTGGGGCAACGATCGGTCTAGAAGTCATGAGAAATCAAAGCTGACAGAGTGTTCAGGGAAATTTTTGCAGACCTTGCGTCAGTTGTTGTTCGAAGATTTTTACTCACTCCCCACTACAAGCCTACACATAGGCAGGGCTGTAGGCTGTTGGAACGACAGTGGAGATGGAAGGTTAGAGGAGCAAGAAGAGGTCTCCAAACGATAAGCAACGCACAGTGAAGCGAGCCAATAGAAAAGATTAGACATGAAATATTGGACAAAAACTGCAACTTTAGGGGTTTAGTTTGTCAAATTTTAAATTTCTAGGGGTGCATCTCGATACTAATTTTATGATAAAACCGATGGAGATGTTCTTGGGGATTCAACGTTTTGCATTAATTGAGTCATACACTTTTAAACTTCCTCATTTTTTGGGACTTCTCTTGTTCGTTCGTTCATTGTAGAACGCCAGAATCCGCCAAGATTTTGCCTGATAATTATGCACAACATCTTTGATCTCTCATAACTTCCAAACCGATCGTTGCTCCAGAATGCACAACCACTTATTTCCACACACTCTTCAACGAGAATTTAAAAAACAGTAATTTTGTATTAATCAAAATATGTATTCATATTTTGAATTAACTGAAATAATTTTTTTTTTAATTCTTTCAAACGATGAAAAAACACTTAAACATAGCTTTAAAACAAGAACTGGTAAAATTTTCCTCCAGAAAGTTAAAATATTTAATTTCAGACAATTTTCTGGGCAGAACAGATATTGATACCTTCCTTCCATATTGAGGTATGAAGATCTCCCCCCCCCCCCNAAATTTTTTGGAGATCTGAAATTTAGTGAGGGGTTGTCCAACATCAAGCACGATTCAAATTTCAGGAAAATCTACAAGGAACGAAAAGTGGGGTATTTTGAATTCAAGCTCTATGTTGAGCATCCAAAACGTGCGTAATGCAGTCCCTCCAGTACTTGGGACATCTGGAAAGAGAAGAAAAGTAGAAGGAAGGTCGTCCTGATTATCCATCAGTATCTGAGTATCAGTATCTGACTCAAACACTTTAGAGACATTCTCACTTCTTTCCTTTCTTCTTTATTCACATTCCTGTTTTCCCTCATCTATTGAATTTTTGGATGAAAATACCTACAGGCGAGGGAAAAGGGGGAGCACGTTTTCAGCGTGCATCATTCTCTTGACGAATTGTCTCACCTCTGCATTATCGAAACTTCCACTTTCTTCCTCTCCTCACATCTTTTGAGGTAATAATTTTTCCAAGAGAATTAAAACTCACGAGAAAAGGTGATCTACGATTTATTAGCTTAAGTATAATCCTTGGATCGAGGATTATGAATATTACGACAGATTGAAACAGTAAATTTACATTTTGACATTCAATTAGCTTAAAAAAATAACAATAACTGAAAACAAGTCTTTAATACAAAACAGGAGGTATAAATTAGTAAAAAAATATGATTGATTCATTTCTGAGCAGAAAAGAACAAGAGCAACAAATCAGTGACAGGAAAAGTGAGATGAAAAATAAATATATTTATGACTTTTCTACTAAATACTATTCTGAGCATCACAGGCAAGTACATAGTGGTTGATTTTTTTCTTTTTTTCTTTTGATCAAAATTATACAAAACTTGTGATTTGAGTAAAAGACCCCATAAGTGGAGAATTAATGCACAAAGGGTCCAAGAGCGATAAAAACTTGAACTCCTAAGCTCATTATGACATTAAAGCCATACAAGCTTTTTTGCGCTGAGATCCTTCACGCATGAGAGAATCAATTATAACAAAAAAGAATGATTATAAAACTGGTTATAAACAGAAATACAATTTCCTTTAACTGCAACAGAGACTCAACAGATTTAGAGTTTCATTAAGATGATTTATGCATGTAACTCACAACTCATCTTGGAAACATCAGAAATTCATCTAGCTTGGGGCCACGTCTTCCAAGAGGGTCTTGAGGGAAAATAAGCATATCTCCAACAAATGTGAACATTAACAACCTGAAAGCAAAAAAACAAAAAATATACTTCATATGTACAGACTGCTTAATTCTTATTAACCATCCTTATTTAACCGACCAATATTACCTTTAAAAACAGATTCTTTTCAACTTCCAAGGCTCCTAAAATTTTGTTTTGTTCACAATACTGACTTTAGAAACCCAGTATCTACTTAAGGAGAAAAGTATTCAAGAATCATGCAAAAAGTTTTCTGTAGATACGGACACCTGAGAAGAGGGTATAAAGGTGCCAAAAAACTGTAATTTTCAAAGACATATTTTGAGGCTCAGAGAGCTCCACATCGGAATGGGCAAATGTGGTCAGAATCAGCCTACTTGCATTCGACACTACCTATCTTGTCATGTTTTATTTTTTCGACAGAAATCGAAACAACACACCTTGAAATTTTTTGTGAACTCTCTATGACTTTGCAGAGGGAGTCTGGACTCCCTCAAAATTTTTCCTTATCTGGCTCAGCATTTAGCTGCTTTATCTCTCTCATTATTCCATTTTTCCGGATATAAGTGGTATCAGTGAGTGCAACACTGCAAGGAGAGGATACAGCAAACGAGAGTGTCAAAATCATGAGGATGGAGATTTTTGAAACTGGCCTTACAGTTACTTGTATAGCGGATGACAGAGATGGAAGAAGGTAGTCTTCTGCCTCAACATGAAGCCCTACAGGACATTACAGGACATAATGGTTACTAATTCATAATTGAGGCACTTTCCGGCAAAAGGGTACAAAGCAAAAAATCGCGTGAGAGAAAAATGCATCTTAAGTTTCCATCTTCACTTTCCGGTCACTGATGATAACTTGCATCGCAGGCAGCTTGGACTCTCGATTTCGAACCTAAGTCACTTCAATTGCATTTTTCTCAGGCGCGATTTTTTGGATGTGTCCTTTTACCGGAAAGCTCCTCGATTCAGGAAAAATATTACCTTTTTTCAATGGTGCTCCTCCAAGTGGGATTCTCTTGCAGCAGATCTCGGAAGTTATCAGTTGACACGATCACTCCTCCAAGGGCAACAGCACATTGTACGATATACCTGACACATAGAAGGATTAACACTCTGAGAAATACTTGCTTAAGATACCCAACTTATTCATTTCCTTAGAATAAATAAAAAGACAGTTCTTCAGAGGATGGAAAGACATACATGGTACCTAACAGAATACATTTTACTAGTTGCACTTGAAAACCTTCCTTTTGTCAAAATACACATTTTAGAAATTGAAGACTTCTTCAATAAAAGTCTTTCAAAGCAAGAGCTGTAGGTTTTGAAGAAAATGCATTGGAAACATAAAAAAACTGCCCTTCCGATATTAATTACCTGTTATCGGATAAAAGATCCTTTTAGCAAGTGAAACCTTCAGGAATGAGAAAATCAAATTACAGGTGTCTAGCACACATCGAAAGTCAAAATTCTAAACCGTATCTTCTTTGCTGTATTTTAAAATCTCTGCTCCTAGCTCATTTTTTAAAAAAGAAATAATCAACATCATTCCTTTAAGTTTAAGTTTTCCATAATTGTTTTTGCAAAGAGAAGGAAAATCACGGCCGTTTTTAAGGATTGCCACTGAGAAGTTTCCTCCTTAAGAAATAAAATAAGACAGGAAATCTGCATTGCCACAAACCGAGATCCGCAGATTTTAGGAATTTCATTATCGATACGGTTGTAACATGCTGAAACTTACAAAAACCTGTTGTATGCTCTTTCGTCGATGATTAAATTTTTAATTTATAGTTTGCTCAGGTTCTTGATATTTTTTTGTTGTTCATTTTTAGTGTCCAAGATTGGTAAAAAGGTAAAAATCTTCGATCACATCTGTTAATTTTTTCAAAAATATGACCAATTGCAGAGTTTACTGACTCGAGTGTTTCTTCAGCGTCTGCAAGAGTCTGGGATTTTCAATTTCATCTATCTATTTCCTTGATCTATCTTTCGATTCTTGAGTAAAATTTTGAAAGGACTACAAAAAAATACATTGGTCATGTCAAAAATAGACTACCGAACTCTCGTTCACAATTTCTGACAACCTCTCATCTTGTGCTTCTCTTTGCTGCATTGTCGAAAAAATGCCAAACATTCAATGCCAGAAATTGGGGTGCAAAAGTCACCATAACAATCATGCATTAATTTACATAAAAGCTACTTGCAGACTTATGATAGACTGAATATAGACTGATAAGAGCATTAAAGGAATTTACTTATTATTACTGAGGAAACTGAAAATCAGGCGAGGATTGGGGGTGGATTTGCTCTAATTTTTTGGGGGGGGCGGGGGGTAAGGTTTGGGTTATCTATACTATAAGCTCCGAGACCTCCTAATTTTGCGTAACTGGTAACGCTTAGTTCCAGCGTTCTACCTGGCCAATTTTCATGATTTTTGCGGCTATCGATGGGCAATTGTCTCTAGATGAGCCCCCTCTATTCAGATTTTCAAAATATGATCCAGGTTTTTTTATATTGCGTGGTGAAGTTGCGAATTTTTCCATTTAAACAATGTAAATTTATGTTTTTTGTCATAGTTCGTTTGAGTGTTCTTCCGGGCCGATTTCCATGATTTTTGCGGTTGTCGATAGGTGATAGGCCCTAGATGAGCCCGCTCTGATCAAATTTTGGAAATTGGAACCAGGTTTTTTTACAATCACGTTATGAAAGTAAGCGAGTTTATAGAATGCTCCGCTTCTCTTACCGCTATGCGCAGAAGGTTGCGCAGTAACTAAGTAGCCTGCGCATTAACTCAACTTATCAACTCAAGATTCGCCACGGTTATATCAAACAGAGCGGTGGCTGAGTCGTTTAAGACATCGGGAACGCCCTCATGTTTCAAGATGAGGGTTCGAATCCTGACTTCACAGCTACTTTATTGTGACTTGATTGTTCGTTGTTTTACTAAAAAAGAGGGTCTAAGGGATCTCCTTTGACAAATTTTGAAAACTATTCCCCACGAGCATTGCACTATTTCAGCATTAGCTTAGTATTGTTAACTGAAATTATTCGGCGAAAATAATCGCAACTTGCGATTTACACTTACCATGACAGGGCAAGGAACTCAAGTGCTCAGTGCTAATTCTCAGTTCAAACTAAGAGGTAAAGCCGGGCCAGAATTTGCAGAGAACTTGCAAGGACTCTGAAATAAGGCTTTTTGCTAGGGATTGAGGGTAAATTTTTGTAGTTCAGGGGCTCATCCATGAAGAACTCTTCAAATTTAGCATGTCTCCAACACACTCTAGAGTTGTTGAGATGATATTTTTGGTATTGATTTTCTAGACATGTTCCTTAATTTTGGGCTCTTTTCTTCTAAGATGTTTAATGTCATCAAGCTCTTTGAAATTCCTACCAAATTATCAGAAATTTTTTCTTCCTTCTCAATAATTTCAAGATGTTCCTCAGCTTTATGAGTTACATTTTTACATTTTAAAAGGGTGATATACATTGAACTAATACCAAGTTGATGATTTAGTTTTTTAAAGAGAAGAAATAGAGAGGCTGATTAGGCATCTTATGTTGCTACACCTACAAGAACTCTTAAAACTGGCCAGAAGAAGCCAGCCAAAGGTTCTCTTAGGCAAATGAGCTACAGAAAATCATGCGAGGCTTTATTGGCCATACCACTATGGTTCTATGTGCCTTCTACTTTAGCTTTGACGCAAAAGAAAACGAGACTTGCCCTTACACTATCTCACTGTCAAAAATTATTTATCTTGTTCCCAAGTAGATGTATGAAATTTGTCATAGGTACGGAAATTTATCTACCGCATGAAATAACAAGTTTGAAGGTGGAACAGCTAGTTCACATCAGCATGAAATACAGCGGTACCCAAAAAATTATGGATGCTTATGGATAAAGGAAAGACTAATTTATCATTTCCAAAAATGTGAGAAAACAAAGGATTTTTTATAAAAAGAGGACCGATTAGAAAAATCAGAGAGCTGAGAATTTTGGCATTCCTGAAATTTGGACATGAAAAAAATAATCTCACCTGTCATCATATGGTACAGACAGTTTATGATTGACTCTTCGACTGGGAGTGTATGTTATCAACCCTCTGTCAGACAGCTTATTCAAGATTTCAGGATGGAGGGTGTGATGGTCACTTCTTCGGAACAACGGAACAAAGATGATGACTTTGTGACCTCGCTTGGTGAAGAATTTGGCACATATCTCAAGACCTTTCGATGAAAATACTCTGATCCCTCTTTTTGAAATACCATGGCTGTGAATCAGAGTTAAAATTTTGAATCAAAAGTTAGAGGACAACTTTCCATGCTTTTTTTCACCCAGACAAACATTTTGAAAATAAACTTCTGTGATGTAGTATATGAGAGCACATATACACCCACCTTTTAAATAAATTGGAAACAGTACAACACTGAGATTTCACTGAAAGTTTTCCTAATTACTTTCTTAGAGGTACATACATTTTGATGACTTTTCCTTATTGACTTTAAGGTCCGAATCCTCCTTATAATTTATGCTATGTACATATAATCCTCCAAGCTTTATCCAGGACACATAGACAGCCAAAATGAGGGCTTAAAATTGGCCACGAGAGTCATGGGCAGTTCAAGAAAAAAGTAAAACTCCCCTCATTTGGCCCAAGAAAATGGCCTAAATTAAAATAAATATACTCTCCATCTCCTCAATTTTCCTGTTCTCTCTTTTCCTCCCTTGGATTGTTTATCTAAATGAAGAGAATGAAGCAAAACAGGATTGTACTTGATCACAGAATGTTTTTCTATCATAGTCTCCTAGGAGTAATGAAGAGAGCGTCTGGAGATTTAATGAATCCGTCCACTTTTGACTTTGTCTGCATTTACAATCTAATTAAACAAGTCAGATGAAATAAGTTGACTGATTATACTCACGCAATGGCAACATTTGAGCCATCAATGATAATGGGCCGCCGTCCTTTGAAGGAAACTCCCCCAGGAACAAAGATATTTGTCCCTATGTCTACTGAGAATGAATCCTCGCTTGAAACACTGAGTTGATCATCATCAGGACGAGGACGTGTGCGCAGCATTGAAGCTTCTTTGGAGCGTACCAGGGTTGAACTCATTGCATCATGAATTAGAGTTTGATCAATCACTTCCATTTCAATTTCATTAGTAAGCGTTTGTTCATTCACAGGAGAAGTTGAAAGATGAGTGTCTCTCTCTTCAACTTCATCAAGTGAGACTACTTCAATAATCTTTGAATTGGGTTCAACAGGGACTTCCTGACATGATGATTCTGACTCGCTTCTTGGTCGATGTAGTTGATCCTCAGTGCTGCTGCTTTCAGCAACAGGAACATTTTCAGGTGTAGAAGCAGGCATTTCATCACTTGATAGATCTTCATAATCTGTCCTCCAGGCATCTAGTGTTAACCAGTTGAAATCATTTAGGCTCTCACTTGCGTCAGGCGAGCTATCTCTACTTCTGGCATTTTCATTTGGCGTGGAGTTGGCTGGATATGGTTCTTTTTTTGAACTGCATGCTTTTTCATTGATACGGCTCCTACATTCGAATGCTTGCTTGTCTCTCATTTGGTGTATTTTTGGTTTCTCATCGGTCCATGAATTCAATTTTTTTGATTTTCTTGATTCATCTTGCGCTACTTGTGTTCGGGTTGTCGGTTTCAGTTTTTCCATTTTGCTTTTCGATAAACTTAGCTTCTGCTTTAATTTAAAGTGTGCTGGTAACTTACGATTTTTCTTATTCATAATGCTATTCAACATATTATACAATTTAGAAGCCCAATCGGTTATTTCATGAAACATTCCTGTTTTTTTGAAAAGAGATTTACATTTATTAATGCCCTCCAACATTGCCACGTAATCGTCATCACGTATTGATGTAAGATCTCTTAAATATTTCAGTTGAAATTTTTTGAGTCCACTTCTAAACGGCAGATTCTCATCTAACAACAGTTTTAGACGGTGGTGAATATTACTTTTAATCTTTTTCATCAGCGCAGTCATTTGTCGAACATTTCCCTGCAAGTTCTTATTTTTGACCTTCTGCTTCTTCAGCTTCTCTCTGACCAGCGCCTTCTTACATTCTTTCTTTCGTTCCTTACTTGCTTGCCTCTTCTGTTTCCTTTGTTCTATTTCCAGAGAGTACGCTGATCTGAGAGTAGTTGAAACAGAGTCTTTCGACAAACACCGCAGAGGAAGTTTTCGAGTTTTACGTCTTTTATTTTGTCGAAAAATTTTGCACAGGTCTTCTTCAACTTCTTTTGGTGTAGGAGCAATGGGAATGAAATCTAACTCCTGAATCTCATGTGACTGACTTTTTAGTGAATCGGACTCCTTTCGACTCCTTTTTCTGTTCAACTCCTTTCGGCTAGCTGCTATATTGGTTTGTGGAGGTCCGCAACTCCGCAAGGCATAGCGACAGGTACGACGCTTTACCCGCTTGTTCACTGATTGCGAGAGTGCAACTTTTTCTTTTTCTTCTATACAATAAATTTCCTCTGCAACTTTTTCTTTTTCTTTTTCTTCTATACAATGAATTTCCTCCAAATTTGGTAACTGGAAGCTGCGCTTATACGGCATAAAATTTGAAGGCGTCTGATCCAAGATGAATGACTGAGGAGAAGTTTTGGAAACTGAAAGAGGAGTGCACATTAGAGGCTCAATGACAGTTTCATTTGGGGCAGGGGTTTTGGAGGAGGAAGCAACAGGAAAGAGCACAGAAGAAGGGGATTCAAAGTCTATTGATTTTTCAGAGTTTAGACTTGAGACTGGTGAGGAAATAGCGGTTATCGATTTAGGTGCGATCGAGTTAGTTTTGTCTTTCGTACTGAATTTTCCTTTCTCTTCAATGTTGATGACATGAGTTTGTTTCTTTGGAGGTTCTATGTGTAATTCATTTTCAATGACACATACTTCTTCAACAAATTTCTGTTTCATTTTTTTTATTTTATTGTGGATACTGACGTGGGATTGCAGACTCGGAGTGGAATGCGTGAGATTAGTAGATACGATTGATACGTCTTCATCTTCAAGATCAATAACTGGACATGGTTCTCTCAACTTCCTTTTTTGACGACTATCAAGGGTTATAACTTCAGGACTGACATCGCTATAATCTTGCTCAAATGTGCTTTTTGGATTTTTATTTCTCGAGCGCTTCCTGATTTGATGTCGATTCATTTTTCTCAGTTCCAATTCTCCTTAAATTCTTTGAAGCGCAATTATTTTCACACCTGCAACATAAAATACAGGTTAAGAGTACATGTTAGAATTTTATTTATTCAAACAGAAATGTAATAGACTTGCTTTGTAGTTGGTGCTTTCATGTCCCATAGCTTGCGCAGTGATGATGAAGCAAATGCAATGCAATGAGTTACAGTTTCACTCCATTTGTTCCCTTGCCATCCTATCTGAAGGATGATCCTCATGTGAAGATAATGTGATGGATCGGTATTTCGTTTAGAAACACGATCATTGCCTATCAGCGTGGAGAGGCCATAACTATGTTCCTGTGACATCATGCTAGTATATTAGACTCGGCCGCGGTTGAACATGTGTTCTTATGGGAGAACATCTAACGCATGTTTCTTTCGTTCCGCCATCTTCTCGGGGGCTGATCTGATGCAAAAATTCATAAGAACTTCTTCGAAAGAGGATGAAAGTTCACTTCGGAAAACTAACTAACCCATACGTGACATTATCTAATAATTGAGGAAATGAAAGCTCTCGTAGGCAACGCGATCAAACCAGTTTTGCAATAGCGTACTTGGCTTAAGTGTTACCAATTGGGCAGGGCATGGCAGGGCTTACTAGATTAAAAAACATGATTAAAATAAGCAGCGCTTTTGATGAGTACCGATCTATGACAATAGGAACTTGCTCTAGGCAGGCTTTTAACATAACTTCTCTTGAATGCTCTCTCAACGGTTGCTCGCCATACTTCAGCATAAGACTTAATACAAAAACCAATTTCCCTGAAACAAGTCCCCATTGAATCAACTTTCGCTAGGATACATTTCAGAATGGAGAGCTCGCAAGTTGCAACTAAATTGTACAAATTTTGTACGATGAAGTTTACATTTTAAGATACTCCTGGACTGTAACTTATGGCAATCCACTCAGTTTTAAGAAAAGCTATTGGCCTATATAATTACCGTGTATGGGACGTCATAATATTTGAGTGGTTAAAGGAGAATTTAATGAGAGACCATGATCCACAACATGTCCACAACTTGCGTTGCTTACCTTCAGCGAAGGAGAAAAATCTAAATGGTAAAACAATAACTGATGGAAAAGGTAGGTCAACAGTTTGAAGAAAACTTGTAGGTTAGTGAAATTAGAAGCCAAAAACACAATTAGCACGCAATAGACAAAAACTTTCTTAAAAATGGATCAGTTGTCAGTGATTTTGGTGATTTGATTACTAATCAGAATTAGATCACTGATCAGTTTCAGTTTCAGCACAGAATATATATTCTGTGGTTTCAGACCATGACCATGTGAATTCGTGGAATTCGTAGGTCGTTGGTCGTTGATTCCAAATTTCCACATTCAACGTCAATAGAGTTGAATGTTGATGTTGACATTTTTTTAAGGTTATGTTAGTAAACCATAAGCCAAAACACGGGCCAAAACCATTGTGGCAAGAGGCAAGAAATGGTTCTCTTTCGTTTATTTTCTTAGCAGATTTAAATATCAGCTAATTTCGCAATCCCGCGTAAACTAATTTATTGAATTCAGCTTAAAATTTGCATAATCTTCATGCTTCACATTGATGTACCTAAGCACTTCTCCGCATTCAATGTTTCAGGGTAGGTGAGCAACCGAACATTTATTGCTTTTTTCTAGAATGTAATCTCAGTTTTATTTAAGTCAATCAGTGATTGCTGCAGAAAATACAGATTGATTTTTGAAATATCAACCTAACTTTCAACCCCTGGAAATAAGTTAAGCGCTTGAACTTGGAGAGGAAATTTATCAACCATGACTCCATGACCGCAACGAGAACAGGTCACAGAAGGAGATGTAATTCTCCAAGCTGGGTAAGAAAGAGGTCTTAATGTTCCTTCTCAAGCCACAAGAAATTACGCCCTTTAATCTCATTGATTTAACACAGCCTTCGAATGAGGTGGACATTATCCTAGGATGACCAGCCTTAATTTATTCTCTCTCATTCAAGATATATGTATCACTTTATGTCGTTTTCTCCTAATTACTAATATTTGGTTCTCTTCAATGCTAATTTCTTTTTCATATCACCCAAGTATGATTATGGCAAAAAAAATTTCAAACAGAAAAGTCAGATGGACGTTTTTCATTTTGGTGCTGGTAAAACATTAAAATGTCTTGCACTTGACCAATATTTTTCTTCTAAGCTGCTGGCAGATTTCTTCTCTGCACCTGCGGGTTGATTGTTGAATTGTTATCCCATGAACTCGATTGATAAATCCCTACCCTGACGATGCTATTTATCGATCAAGGTCATTAGATATGGATTCAACAATCGAGCCGCAGGTAGTCTCACGTGTAGAACTAGAGAGGACTCCTCATAATTTAATTTTGCTTTTAAAATTCTTGCCAGCTTTTTCAATATCTGCCATGATGATATAAAGTGTTTTAAATATCAATATGAATCCTGTGAATCAAACGTTGGCTGCATTTAAGTAAGTCTTGGTAATTTCTCCTCACAAGTCTTGCCAGTGTTAGTCCATAAAAATTGATAAGTGGCCTCTGAAATGTTTATCCCGGGGCTAATTAATGTTGCCTTTTCCATATCCCAGTGTTCATGTTTGCAATCCTTTCACGGAGTTCTAAAATGCTATTTTTTAATTGATTCATTCTATCATTTTCTGTTTTTCTTCCTGTTTCAGATCATGCTTTTGAGCCTCAAGAGTTGCAATATCAGATAAAAAAGAAGGAAAGAAGAACATGAATCAGTTTTCAAGGAAGTCGCATTTTTGTGAAGTTACCGATGTCATAGATCTTGATGAATCAGTTACCACCAATCACAATTCCACTCCTGATGTAATTTGTCTGGATGAATCCGCCAATAGCTCAACTGTGGATGTTAAATTCGAAAATGTAACTGAGATTCACAGGCTGAGAGCGGAAGTAGATTTGACAAGTGAGCTGACAAGGATTAAAGATTACTCTGACAAAGTAGTTACCATCCCAGCAACAAAAATCCAATCAAAGAGGAAAGCAGAAGATGATATTGAAGCCTCTAAACCAACGAAAGCAGTAAAATCTGATCGACTCTCAACTATTGAAGAAACTGTTATCATAGAAGATGACAGCCCTTCTTTTATTTGCTTATCAGAATCTCCCTTACCCAAAGAGTCATCAGCTGGGATGGATGTCACACCATCAACCTCTAAAAACGACTTTAGTATGCTAGACAACTCTTACATCCAAGCAGTAGCTGATGCGTGTGTCGCACGCTTAAGTGAAGCACTTAAACCCTTAGGCCAATTTACTCCTTATCAGTCATTCTTCAAAGGTTGTGAAGTTACCAAAGAACTCCTAAAGCAAGGAGACACAGATATTGCTCGAAACTCAAAGTCTGGAGGAAAGAGAAAAAAGAGAAGAAAGAAAAAGTCAAATATTGCCAATGATGCTGATTGTATTTTAATTGAAAGTGAGTCGGAGGATTCAAACAGCAGTCAAGGCCCATCTCATGCAGCTGCGACTGATGCCACTAGTGCCAACGAATTTTGCTCAACTGCAATGGGACGATCCTCCGATGTGGTTTCAAAAACAAAACCAAAAAGTTGTCACTCCAATAATAATTCCTGTGATAGTATTTTTCAGTTGGATAAAATTCCTTTAGCATCAAGTAAAAAAGTTGATGAAGGTAGAGAAGATGTGGTAGTAATTGATAATGATTCAATTGAAAAAGAAAAATCAGATGCATTAAATATCGGTAAAAATGTGTCCTTACCAATGGGAAATGTTACCTGGAAGGGTCTCCGACCTGTGATCATCGATGGCTCCAATGTTGCATTCAGGTAAAAATTTCAATAAAATTCAAGCGTTCCTAAAATAGTACATCCACTTATCATCGAAAAAATGAAATACCAAAGAAAATTCCTCTCGGTGGTTAGCATAAGAATCTCAACATGGACACATTCAGGTCTGCAATTTAAATGACTTGACTGAAATAGATACCTGAAACAATTTTATGTTGCATATTTGCTAAAGATGACCACTACATAATCTCCGAAAGTTCCAGAGGGAATCACTTCTGCTCAAAAATATAATATACATATGGTGCAAACTTCAGTGTTTCCTCTTTTTTTCTGAAGAAAAGTGGTAATTCGATGATGCTTTATATATAAGCAAATTTAAGGCCTCTGACAAGTCTCTGCAATTGGAATGTTGGGTGAGGAAAGGGCATTTCTTGGTTGGGATGTTTTGGAATCTACTTTGCTAATTTTATTTCAGAGAGGAAACTATCGGCTGGATTTTTTGAAATTTTTCGGTTTGGCATCGTAAAATCATGAAGATAATCAGTAAAATGTTCAATAACTTCCATATATTTGCTCTGATTGTACTGGATGAAACTTTAGTGGAGATTCTGAGACTCCCCAACCGAGAAATGCCCTTTCTACACCCAGCGCTTCAATTGAGAGAAATTCTAGTAGACCATATTAGATTTTACAATTGAGTTCATGAAATATCATTGTACATTTTAGGCCCCTCCAGGAATATTAGGTATGTCTTTGCTTTGGAAATACCCACATTTTAAAGTGTTGAAAGTTTTGTTTAAATTTAGCACAACACTGATATAGCATTCAATATGCAGGGTTTTTCAAATCAAATTATTCAATTAACAATGAAATATGAAAAGATAATGCTTACTCATCACTGAATGTATCACTGGAACGATTTATATCAAGTAAAGGACACCTTTATTTTATCATGTTCATCAGTCAATTGATGTGCATAAGACACAATTTGAATCTTTAATTATTTTTCTCTCAACAATAGTTTCAATGGTACACGCATATGACATAAATTTGTCCGGTTGTTTTGTAAATATTTTGTTAAAAATATGAAGTAATGATTTTTTTCTTCTTCCTCTTTCTGTACAGCCATGGACTGTCAACGCTAGGTGAAAGGAAATTCTCATGTAAAGGAATCGAAATTTGTATAAAATATTTCACAGATAGGGGCCATAAGGTTATTGCCTTTGTGCCTCTGTTTCGAAAATCAAATCCGTACACAGTTCAGTCAGAACTTCTGGGGAAACTAGCAGAGCAGGGACATATTACTTTTACACCCAGTAGAAGAGTGAATTCTAAACTATCTGTACCTTATGATGACAGGTAAATTTTATCATTATATTATTCCAGTTTCTAGGGTTAAGACAAAATTGCACCAAAGTGCATCCTTCCAGAACTATCTATGAGCAAGCCTAGAGCTTGATCTTATAAAAATCATCAGGATTAGTCTTTACCTCAAGGTGCTCTAATTATTTTTTTCATTCAAACGAGCCAAGTAAATTTCCCTGCAAAACTCCCAGATAGCATCAACTCTTAGTGATACATCTCAGAAGGATGATGTCTCGGCAGCAATGAAATGGAAATTATGTATCCCTCAGTTTTTTTTACTTATTATGGCAAGCTGTTTCACCATTTACATTTCTTACAGAAAATTGTATTTAAATTTAGTTCCACAAGCAGCCTCTGAATAAGAAGCTCAAAATTTCATTATTTTGTGATGGTTACCATTCTGTCATGTAAAATCATGGAAGTAACGCATACCTAACGCTTGAGGCGCAAATCGCTCTGAAAATGATCAGAGGGCCTCTTAGTTCTGTCAAGCTTCTTAAAGCTACAGAAGAGATTTGAACATGTTATTTTCAAATTAATCTCTCTATGAATTAGCAAAAACTGAGAAAAAAGTATAGTATAATCCAATTATCTTCGATCCAGGAACTAAGGACTATAGACGGCCATCCCATTCAAAGAGCACATCAAGGGTGAAACCGTAGGAATGCGCATCTCGGTTTGCAGCATTGCAGACTTCCTGTTTACTTCATTTTCTACTTGAAAAACTAGTATTTATCATTTTTGGAAACTTCAGGGTTTTTTTTTTTTTCTTTCTAAGTCAAGAATTAAATATTCTGTAAAAATTTCAAATCATAAAGTTGGTTCAGTCTCTTTTTGAAAAATAAAATAAGAGCGTCGATTTTGAAACACTGCAACTGAATTACGCATTACTGCAGTTTCATCGTCGATATTCTCTCCAAAATGAGAATATTATCAGCAGATAGAAATTAATCCTCTCATCACATTCACTGAATTTGTGAAACTGGCTCTTTCGTCAATTTGAAGTTAATTGGTTCATATCATCCTAAAATTTTAATTGCCATCAGATTCTAGTGGTCAGATTTTTAAAATGTATTCATCATTACAGATACATTGTCCAGACTGCTGTTGCTCTCGGAGGCGTCATTGTGTCATCAGATAACTATAGAGACCTTTTAGAAGAAAATGAAGCATGGAGATCTACAATAGAAAATAGGTAACTTGATAGNTACCTCACATGACACTGTAGGAAAATTTCAAAATACCGAAATTCCATAGGCCCTTATTATGGCCGCCATTTTGAATTTTCGTCATTTTGGGGGGTGTTCCGGGGTCGGACCGTGGTAAACTTTTTGTATGTTGTTTAGGAGGACCTACTGATGACGTTTTCACAGGAAAAAATTGTTATGCAATTTGTTCCGGGTTAAGCCCCTTTTTTCCGTATTTCTTCCTGACTATGAGTAATTTTCTTATCTCTAGTATCAACTGAAAATGTCATGGCTTTCATAGCTTTATGAATCAAAACTGAGACCCTAAGAGTGAACTCAATTAAAACTTTGGCTAATCACCAAGTACGAAAGTAACCTAAGTACTTTATCACTTAAATATTTGAGCCAATGAAGATTTACATACAGGGAATGCTGGATGGTGGCTTTGTATTAGGTCATTTTCTGATACCTAGGAACAATTTTGAAAGGTTCAGTCTTTTTTTATGTTCAGCTGAACAGGAATACCAAAGAAAATTAGTGCTCCTTGCTCTGTTCTCTGTTGGAGTGAACAGTGAATGAAGTTTCCAATATTTCGCAGTTTTCCAATTCTCTTACTTTTTTGTTTCGCCGTGTCTTCAAAATTTCTGAATGCCCTGACCTTTGAGCAAAACTGCCACCTAGATTGTTTTATTTATAATTTCTTTGCTAAGCTTCCTAGGAATTGGCACAAACGTTCTCTTGTAAAAATTTAAATTGCCAAGTTTTTGACAATGGCTGATGTGGCTGGGTTCCTTTCTGCTAAATGCAGTCCATTTAGTCGAAATCCGTTGCTAGATCCTGTCCTAATGCTCCCTCGCCATTCTCACTGATGTTTCACGTTAACTTTTTTTCAGGCTGTTAATGTTTACGTTTGTTGGCGACATGCTAATTTTTCCTCAAGATCCTCTCGGTAGGTCGGGTCCAAGTCTTGATGAATTTCTTCGCTTTCCTAAGTAATGTTCAGTTTTGCAGTTACTCCAATGTTCAGATAAAATTGTGATCTCGTTTAAGGATAAGAAGTGCCTTAAATGTACAAACTCTTCTAGCATAGGTTCTGTATTAGTCTTCATAATTATGTTTACTTTAACTGGTCAGTCATGATAGTAATAGAATCGAATTATATGGTCGTAGCTTATGGTGCAAACAAGCTGGACTTTAGAGGATCTGTGTGGCAACCATGTTGATGCATCTACTATTAAGGTGATTTTAAGTGATCCGAAGACAAGATCTGCCAATACATTTCGCTGCTACCCAGTTTGTGTCTTTTAGAATCAATAATTATTGTAATGCACAAATCAATGCAAGAAACTGCTCTATATATGTAGTAGCACTAATGACATCAAATTTGAGAGAATTCATGGAAAATTACTTATATTGGGAACCACCACAATGAACGCCTTTCTTTGACTCAATATATAAGGGAGAAATAGCATCATAGTATCTCTCTCTTAAACATTGAGTCAATAGGCGACACCTGTTATGGCAGTTTCCAATAAATATTTTCAATGAATCCTAACAAATTTGCCACACTACTCAGTCTTAATGCTGATATTTGTCATAAATCATCTTTTTACATAAAATCGGACATTATGATAATTATTGCCCCTCAAAGACTCAGACCATGTAGCAGCGCAACCTTGAGGCGGATTCCGTCTCTAAAATGCTTAGAATCACCTTAAAAGGATGAAATCATCCCTAGGGTATTTTAAGGGCAATATCTGTATCAAAATCGGTTGTGTGAAGTAGCCCTGGGATAAAGCTGTTATTTTCATTGAGTATGCAAGCTTCAACCATCAAAACACAACTACACAGCTAAAAACTTGACCGTATCAGTACATGTATAACCTTAATTTAATATTGAATGCATGAATATTAAAATAGTTTTTCTGATGTGATGGTATCATAGTGGTGCTGAGAGAGGCTTTTATACTGTTTTATCGGAGAAAAAATACACAATTTGTCTTCTCTTTTATGATAATGCATCAACTTATTCATGGCCTTTATCTCATAATTTTCCAATCAATGTACTATGTATTCCCATGTTAATATCTCATGAGCTTCTCTTCAGGTCTTCGTTTTACACAGAGGTCTTAACTCTAAAAATGTGCTGCTTTGAGAGCATAATTTTAAGGTTTCTCTATTCTGTTAGATTTGCACATCTACTGGAATGAGGTGAAATTCTAATTTAATTTGTGCATACTGTCCATATTAGTGTATTCATTTACTGTTAATAATTTTTTGTACCTATGTAAGTATAGTGCCGAAGTCCAACGTTCAGTATCATTCAGAATCTGTTTTTTTTTTCCTTTTTTCGTCTTCTGTGTGCGTTGAGACATCATAAAATCAGCCCTCTTTGAATTGAATAATCAACCAAAGAATTGGAATCGACCCACTCATTTCTTCCTCCTCTCAAAATACCATTCTAAGTATCAATTATCTCAAAAATTACTTAATAAAATTCCCCTCATTTTTTCTAAGTTGTTTTCTGATTTTGTTTCTTATTATTTCATACATGAATTCAAAATCTGAACTGTAACAGGTTCCCAGTTCTCTTTTTTTTATCAGTTCATCCTACACATTTCTGTAATGATGAATGCATTTCCCTCTTCATTTGTGTACAAAACAATTGTAAATTTTTCCAACTTTGTTTTGTAGGTGTAATAGTTCGTTGTTAAAAAAAAGTGAGACATTTGATTCTCATTAGACTGAAGAGATGGAAAATCTATCATTGACTTCTTGGCAATTCTTTTTAAATAAATTTGATCAACAAAATAATATTTCAGCCTCACCCATAAATGATCAAAAAAAGAAAATTAAGTTATAACCTTAGGTCTGTCATTTCATTGATAGCCATTTAGAAGATTACATTTGTCGTTGTTCCAAGTGCAAAACCTTGGATCTCTCATCGCAACATTGTAGACTTCCTGTGATACTTCAATTTCATTTTGGGAAACTGGTAAACATAATTTCCAGAGTATTTCATTGACTTTTCTTTTCTTTTAGCAAGACATTCTGTATAAATTTCAAGTCATAAAGTTGACTTGTTTTTCTTTGAAAAAATAAAAGAGGAGCTGAAATTTTGCTACAGCGTAATGGAGATAAGCGGTTCCCAATTTTGGCCCTCAATATGTATGAATAATTATTTTGATACCTATCTACGAATTTTCAGCATGCAAATCATAGGCTAGACTTACTAATATAATCGTCCGAAAAGACAGTTGATAGGAGCAAAGTCTTTCATGGTCGCTTTCATCCTGCTTCTTCCTTGATGCAAAAAAGGAAGAAATGAATCTGTTTGTAGTCACGAAACCCGAAATTTATTTATTTAGGGTGTGCTCCCACACAAAAAAGTGTAAGAGAGGATTATGAACTTGGATATATTTCTGTCAAGCAAAAGTATAGGTTGCTATCATAGTATGCTGGAGCAACAGCTCCATTATTCTTACCTCTACCATTACCGCATCTTCATCTCTTAATATTCCGACCTTGACCTCACTCTCATCAAATTTCATCATCAATCTCATCATGGCTGAAAGGAAAACGAGGAGGACGACTGATAAAAAAGATTGATTATCAGGGTGCATAATAATCAATTCTTTGCCACAGTCTCAAATGGGAAAATATCGAAAGTCAATGCTCCACATCTTGCCACTGAGTGTTAATTAGTTTGCCTTGGAGGCAATCACATATAACATTAACCTGTTAACTTGAGCAGACAGCTGGGAGCCCTCTGCGCTCCCCAGAGTCAGTACTGAATTAACAACTCAGAACTTCCGGTTGCTTGACAACAATTTATGAATTGTCTCCGGCATTCCTTGACAAGTGGTGCCTTACTATTTCTTGCTAATGTTTTCAGGGGCAGTAAGACCAGTCTATAAGGCAAAATTGAATACTAATTTTAGGTGTGGCAGGATCAAATTAAGTCATATTATGTATAGGGACTTCAAAGTCAATGGGTCAGCCGTGTTAGTCACAGAATCAGGTTTTGATTACTGCAGTTTATAGAGAAGGAAAAAAAAAAATTCATCTAAACACAAAGTTTCAACGTCCGGTAATAATGAAGATATCGCCCTCACGAAAACACAGCGTATGACGTCATCTTCTGCACTGGTGCATACCTGGGATTCTTCCACCTTGGTTTCATCCCTGTTTTGCCAGTGCAAATGTGTGAATTATCAATGAATCAAAGATAAAAAAAACCATTATATGCATCATTGTGTTGGATGATGACATACACCGTGTTTTTGAAAGGCATTATCTCCATGAATATTGTACTTAGAAAGAAGAGTGGACAAATCTTATTCATTAAAACTAATCTATAAACTTAAACCATCAAAACATAAGTTTGTGATTAGTGCAGCGGACCCAACGGTGAAAGAAAATATTATGTGCTGCTGATCAAATGAAATAAAGGAACCAACTGTACCTTGCAGAACTTCAGCCACAATTTCTACATGTCAAGCAGTTGATAAAGTATTTGCAATGATCTAGGTACTGCCAACCTGGCAAAGGGTATGAAAAGATCCATTGAATTTATTTCCATGTAAATTTGTTCATTTTTACTTTTTAATAAGGTCTTCCAAATTCTTGATCAATGGTCAAGAGAGATAAAAATAAAAGTAGTGTATTTGCCTTCAGAAAACAAATTAACAAGAGTAAATTTACACACGAAAGCTTGGTATATAGTTGTTTTAAATCAAGAAGATGAGATTTAAAAACCGAATTGTAATTCAGCTGAAACTTTTTCCTCTGTCAGAAACTAAGATGGAAGAATTAACTTTAAGAGTGAGTTTCTAATCTTATAAGAGGAAAAATAATTATTATAAAAAAAAAAAAAAAAAAAAAAAAAAAAAAAAAAATCACCAAATTCAATGTGGAAAACTGTGGAGGCATTTAATGGTAAGAATATTTTATTTGAAAATAACTTGGGAACGCACGGTTATAACTGTACAGCAATGCTGGATTTATTAAACTTAGGAATCTTAAAAATTATCGACATTTCATCATGTATGAAACCCTTTTCATGGAAAATCTCATCATCTGAGCAAGTATTATTGCCTTTCAATGACTTACAGAAAAATGTTCGACTTCATGCAATTTTTTGTTACTTGAAAGGCGGGAAGAATTAGTGAACAGAGGTGAAATAAAGTATAGGTAATCCAATGCAAAGTAAGGAATGGACTTAGGCTTTTTTTCGAAAGATCTTATGCAAGGTTAAATAACTTCAAGAGATGATTATTCATCTTCCCTGGAGGCAGAGTAAGACAAAATAAGATGGTACACAGAAAAAAATTGAGTGACATTTACTGCGTTAAAACCTGTTCAACTAGAGGAGATGACAGATATTACAATGTAAAATTGCATACTTTACTGTGTTTTTTGAAAACTTGCTTAAATGCATGGCAATGTTGGTCATAAATCAACATAAATGTTCGGTTGTTCAGGTTTTGACAAAGTAGACGAGACTAAATATCCGTTCCCGTGGAGATAGGTTACGCCCCTCTTTACATACAAATTTAGGTGCACTTAACAAGAATTTAACGCATTTTAAAAAAATAAAATCTGCATTGAATAATTGTAATATCATTGACAAATCTAGAATCAAGGAGACAAAATTTATCTTGATACAATGCTTTGAAATTCAGCCGACTAAAATTACTTTGTGTCAGCTCTGAGGCAGAACATATACATAACTTTCCTGCATAAGGGTTTTCAATCATTTTTCGCTTGAAGTAGGGAAAAAGCAAGATTAAAGAGTTACACAAGAAAAAAATTTAAATTTATGAGTAAAAGAGGGGGGAAACGTATGCCTGAAAAAGTAAAAAATATATACATATACATTCGTTTTGATACACATTTATATTTATTAATAAATATAAACCTATTATTTCTTAACTTTTACTTAAAAATATGCAACAGTTGAAGTTTTTGCATTTAAAACATGAGTGCATTAAAACTGTTAACAGAGAACGAGCGAGTGAATTTCGTTTCTAGATGTGACGTTAATGCACAAATCTATTGTGAATCAGACACAGATAATAATTGTTGGTTTTCATTTAAATGTTATTTTAAAAAAGAAGGAAAAAAATTAGAATAAAATAATTAACAGAAATATGATTTACAAAAGCGCTAGAAGTTACTACCTTCGGGCGGTTGTGATAATTTCATATTATCTTTCAATGTCATCAATCTTCGCAATTCTTGAAGAACTGTCTTGATAGTATAATCTCTCTGCCAACGTGCTAAAACTGGAACTTGCCTATTATCAACCTGAAATTTTAAATTGTTATTATCAGCTATTGAGCAACCTGCTAAATGACAATACTGAGAAGATAATAAGGATCACATTATTCATTCTTCATTTTCTCATTAATGGTTATTTCATGATTACTTAAGGACCTCGCATGGAGAGCTAAGGAATTCGGCTTCGGCTAAAGGACTGTGCACACAATACCACAAAATTCGATGCAAGCTAAATTTCAACATTATTTGATGTGATGTTCCACATGACCTGCTGATATGATGAGCTTTAGAAATCAAATTTTCTATAGGCCAGTCTCAAGAAAAGCTAGGCTGAAAGTTGAATCTTTTTGCCTTCATTTTGAATGGAGATGAGGGACTGTTGCTGCGTATATGTGGATGCTGCTCTGCACACTGTTATCATTAGAAGGAATTTGATTATTTTTGCCTCTTTCTTCCTGGCCCTCAAGAAAACAAAAGCTATCTTTGATCACCAGTTGGATGTTGCAGCATTTCCACTAGATATGGCTTGTAATAAAACAAAAAGTTAACTTTTCAGCCCCACATCTCTCGAGATGGGCATAAAGAAAGTCTGATTTTAAAAGCTAATCAAGCTCAGACAGCCAAATAAAATAATATTGAAATATATCCAGAGCCAAATTTCTTGATATTTTGTTAATAGTCATTCAACATGCTTTGCCAAACGATGAGATTTTAGGATCAAGCTTTCTATGTGCCAGTTTCAAGGGAAAAGAATTTTTCAGCTTTTTTACACGTGCTGTCTGGTTGAAATATTGGTGATCATGAAAAGCTCCACTTTACTTGCTACATGCTAATCAGAAAGATAAGACAGACTGCCTTGGGACAAAAGGCTCTGCTTAATTTGACACAGGAGCAGTGCCAAGTCTTCATTCGGAAAATTATGTTAACTTTTTAGACCTGTTTTTCTTGAAAACTGCAAACAATGCAAGGACCCTGCCTTTTTTCTTCATGTTAAAAGAGTACTTTTTAGGATTATGAACTTCTTCATGATACAAGCTCTGACTTGATGGTTCATTTCAATTGACCATCTATGAATGTAAGTCCACTGTCATGGTAATCAGTCAAAGGTGTGCCATAGGTTGATTCACCATTTGCCAGTAATAGTACTTGAAAAATAATATAAAAATGAACGGCTTCCCTAAAATGGCGTCAAAAGATGACATCATCAGTCGTAACATCAAGTTACGTTGACTAAGCATTCAACTTTTATTATTCTGGGTGGCCAAAATTTTTGGACTTCCAAGTTCCCTGACATTTCCCAACTTTCTCAAGACCCTTCATGAGAGATTCTCTGGCTGTTTAACACAATGGAATTGTCACTTTTAACAACTTCGAAAGCTAAAACGGTGGAAGACAAAGTTGGAAACTTTAAAGTTCACCCTATCCGAGAAGTCTTTTTCTAATCATGTGGAAAAAAATTATTTTTCTTGCAAAAATAAAATATGGATGAAAATAAGTATACATTATGAAGAAATGGGCATAGGATATGCTAGAGCAATAAAATTGGATTTCTGGAGAGGGTTGGCAGAGTTTTCTAAAGAGATCAGATCTGTAATTTTAAAGTGCGTTAGTTGATGAAAGTCCAAAATAACGTTGTAATTGACATTGTGACAAAACAGCTAGTCTAGTATGGTTATGTTAATAGAATGACTGAAAAAAGGCTATCAAAGAAGATAGTTAATTGGGTATTTCCCGGAGAAGATATATGGTACACCTAGTGAAAGGGTGGCAACAGGGGATTTTACATGAAATGAGAGTGTGCACTCTCTAGTAAGGGACTGTGGTAGTTAGGTGTCACAGAGGGCTGTGAAACTGGCTCTTGTATATACACACATACAAAATTCCATAGGAAACTGGCCAAATAATACATTAGATGTAAAAGAAAAAATAATGAATACATGCTTTTGGTGGCCATACAAATTTTCAATTCGTTTTCAAAGAGCAGAATTTTATGGGTTCACAAGAACATTTAACTGCACGGAAAAAAAAGAATTGCTGATTCAGCAATTCAATTGCTAAAAGCAGTGAGTGCAATGTTTCAATGTAGATTTTACAACACAAAAATGCTACTTCAACCACATTGTAAACTAATTTAACCACGGGGGTGGTTAAAGTAGCATTTTTGTGTTGTAAAATCTACATTAAAACATAGCACTCACTGCTTTTAGCAATTGAATTGCTGAATTAGCAATTGAATTGCTGAATCAGCAATTCTTTTTTTTTCCGTGTGAGCTTAAATCATGCATTATACATAGAAGCATAGAGAAGTGAGGGAAAGTAAAATATAAGTTTATTCGGACAAAAGTTTAAACTATACTTACAACACCAGTTGAGCTGTTTATACAAGTCATGTTGATTCTGGAAACGAAACGCGCTGATGGTGCATCATCCGGATACCTGGCGCCACATTCAATTTTAAGACTATAGATGCGATTTTCATACGGTGTCTGTTAGGAAAAAGGATAATATTTTGTTGATTAATCTCAGAAGTCAAAAAAGTTATCAGCAACAAAAAAAAAACCATGATGAAAAAACCGCAAAAAAAGTCCAACAAGGAGCGGCCTTTGATATAATCAAGAGTGTATACCTATTTCTGATGGGAATTTATGGGTTAATGGTGGTAAGTAGCTAGTTTACAATAAAAGATCTCACAGCTGGATTTAATCGAGCAAATCGAAAAAAAGAATAATGATTCAGTAAGGGATCAAGAAAAGGTACTTAGTCAAGGTGTTGTGTCAAATCTTGAAACTCATCTGCCTTTTTCTCATCCCACTTCTGCACAAGACAATTTTTAGTTATACCTTACTTATTATTTCTAAGGATTGCTGGTAGCATTTTCCAACAGATCTAAGCTCAAGGATTCAACTTGTTCACAAAACCACAGAAAAAAAGTTATATCACTTGATCAGAACTTATTTTAAGAGATTTAAGTTTATCGATTTTATCAACTTTGAACCTGTGGATAGTCTCAGAACTGGGGAAAGAAAAGAATAGACAAATATCACGACAGAAATCGGCAGTACTCAGCAGAAATTTATGTAACATTTGTCCATTCTTCTTTTTTCTTCAGTTTTAAAAACAGGTGAATTCCTCTGAACTGACATTGAATCATTGAACACCTTTCAGCATAAATAATTTAGGAACTATAATTCTTCATGAATTTCACGATGAACTCCATACAACAGAGCGAACTGTCTGTTGATAAAACGTTTTCAATCAAAAGACATCCACTGAATTTTTCAAACTGTGCAAATAATTTGATTGCATTTTGCAAAAAAGAACCACGAGAATTCCAATGTGGCTGAGATTGTGCAACTTCTTTAACCTGGTAAATATGATCTGATCATCTAAACACGTTTTTTCTTTATTCTCATTAAACTACAATTTCAAGATGAAAATTACCATTGTAAATGTAACTCTTAGCGTGATTTCAGTAATTTCATTGCAGAGAATGTAAGTAGTACACAATCCAAACAACATCGGATTGCTCTTGGTTTCTTTTTGCAAAATGCAATCAAATTATCTCGTACACAATTGGAAATTTTTTCCTTTTACGATATTCAATTCGTTCTTCATCATATAAATTACACAGCTTGATAGCTAAAGCGCAAAACCATAAATTTTAATTGCAGTGTTAAACAATTTTTGCTATTTCATTTTTTAGAGGAGTGACAAGTCAACTTTGTAGCTTGAAAGTTATACAGAATATACTCAGCACACAATGAAAATAATTCAAGAAATTATGTTGACAAGCTCTCCAAAAAATAAACAAAGTATGACAGGAAGTCTGCGACATCACTGACAGAGATACGTGGCATTGCACCTACGCAATCAAGCTACTTCCGTGAATACTTCCTTTTAAAATAGTGGTAGCTTGTTCCAAGAGGAGAAGGCCAATACCTCCTAATATATATCTTCGGCCTGATTGCTGAAATTTAAGTTGGCCCAATGGGACATCGAAAATGGAAACATTTGGGACACAAATGCATCGCTTCATGCACAAAAAGCAAGAAACATTTTAATAATCAGGCTGCAGGCCAGTAGATTCTAGTTGTACAAAATTCTACTTATTGTTCACGGGATCATATGGATAGTACTTAAAAAGTGTTTTTTTCCCTCCTTAGGAGAATAGATTTGAAGAGGAGATGGAATATTACATAGAAGTTCTGGGTAAGATAGACCAAATAGGCAAAATATACGTCGCTGAATCATGTTCCAGATAAGTGGGGTAATCACAGATGCTACCCACCTAGGAATGGAAAAGGAAGGGGGTGAAGAGGGCTTAAATTCCCAGTCATATTGATACCTCTTTTAAAGTTATTTTGTTCAGTTCCAGCCAAAATTGTCAGCGTTGTCCTTTGTTTTAATAATGTTAGAGTCCAATTTAGGAAATAATGAAGATATCTTACTCTAGGAGGTCCGATGATCATGCCAGTCCAGTGAGTAAGGGTCATGTCGTCATCACTCTCAAGTCCCCAACTGATAGTGCCGTCGCCCACACCACGTTGACCTTGTTCTAGCTCCTCCAGAAGCCGGAAATTGCGAGGAATCACTGTGACAAGAGAAAAATGACACTAACCAAAACCAAAAGCTACAAAAAGAGGTACTCAATGGTTCTCTCAGAGTAACAAATTACTTAAAGTTACCGAAGCATGAGTAATAAATTTGAGTGAAATAAAAAATACAGGGACAGAATTGAGATGATAAGTGACATAACACCATAAATCCTGAAATAAGGGTGAGGGTGATATACAACCCAATTGTGGACTGGGTTTGAAATATTCGATATAGAATTTGCAACTAAGCAACAAAGCCACATTCTCTAGGTCCACACACACTTTAGATAGGGAGGTCATCCGTAACCATGTGTCACGGTGATGAGGTATTTATGAAATCATTGTAAGAACCTGGACGTCAATGAAAAATATTTTACACCAGGCATTGAAGTGACACAGAAGACCAAATGGCCTTGAATCACGGAGCGCATAATCACTAATATAACCTAAAACAGAGGTATGAGGCTCCAAAGGCAAGCGAGTTCAACCGCACCCTTGACATGGGTCTATGAATGTAATGTGAGAAATTCTTCAGGTCCAATCAAATTCAAAGGCAAAAGATTAGAGGATTTGTTGAGTTGAAGAATATTTGCAGCCATCAGCCAGCATTCTGTTGACCAGGGGTGAGCCTCCCAGTAAGGCCATACTCATGAGGAGGAATGAGGGGGTGAGTGGGGTTTAATCAACTCCCAGACAAGATAGAATTCTACTACTGGGCGTGAAAGGTAGATATTTTTGGATAATTGCGACAAAGAAAAGTACTCACCAACACCGCCAGTAGTTGTCGCCATGACGCTAGTGTTGTGCTTGCGCTATCAAGGAACCGTGACGGGATAGGGCACGGGGCTCGGAAGACGTTAAAAGGGTGGTTGCCGGAATTTCAGTGCGCACAGGGTGTTTTAAATCATGAGAAAGATGAGAACGGAGAATAATGCAAGATGACAAATTACATAAATAAAGCCGAGTTGGGCCCGTCCGGCTTCCCAAAAATTGCCTGGCCCTGCGGCAAGATTATGATAACGTCAAACGATCGATCATCAGTCATCGATGATACGCACAAAACCGCGAGAACGCTTCTTTTGTGCTGTGTTGTCCGGTAGTAAAGAATTTAATTTTTGCATGATGATTTATTTGCAAAATCGAATAATGAATTAAATTAACTTGCTAAATTAAATAAAAATAAAATGGATGCTCATGATACTACAACTGTGAAGGGACTTTGTATTTGCCTAGCCACTCATGAAGTTGTAAACATAAACTTGGCAACGTTAAAAGTCGAAAGTAAACATCGGTGAACGGTGTATTCGTCTAATGGTTCTTTTCTTGAGGTTATGTGTCAAAGGTTACAAGATAGGGTGTGAATAATTAGTGATTTTAAAGTTTCCAAGTAGGTTTCATTCGCTTCCTCTCACTTTGAAAGACATTTAAAGTGAGTGCATACAATTTTTTGAATCATGGGCAGTGGTAGCAGCTCCACCAGGAAGGTAGAAGTGGAAAATGACGGAACAGTGATTCGAGTGTCTGATGCAGTCGTTGACCGATTAAAAGGTATAAAACCAGAAAGTAAACCTGAATCAGAACGAGCTGTTTATCCTAATCAACATCACGTTTCACCAAATAGCCTAACTTCACTAGATGTCAAGAGGCTTGTGGAAAAAGAACTTGCAGCCAATGATCAATATTGGAATGACCGACTTCTGAAACTTCAAGCTAGTAGTAGGTCCATCGAAGATGTCATGAAACTAGAATATTATCAAGCGATCAAAGAGATAGAGTCCATGTACCCTGAACGTAGTTTTGGGAAGAAAGTGCCTTGTGAAGATGTGAAGAAGAACATATTGAAATGTTACGAGGAGAACAGACATCAAGCCCTCAAATGTTCACAGGAAGTCCTCAAATTCCAGAATTGCTTGGTGAATAAAGCTTATTAGTTTTGAGTCAGTGATCTTCCATTAGCCAAAGTTGTTAAAGGTGAATTGTATCAGCAGTTTTTATGTTCAGACCTAGTCAATCAACTAGCAGGTACAGTTAAATCATTGTCTCGTCATCCTGTCCAGTATGCATATTTTCTGTCCTAGATTTCCATGTAAGAACGGAGGCTTACTATAGCTTCAATGAAAGTAATTTTTCTCTAACTTCACTCTGCATAGTACTTTGGGCAAAAAACAACCGGGAAGGTTGGAAATAGCTCTGCCCAAAATGTTCTCAAATTTGCATTCTTTTTCGATCAATCATACGTGCATGATTTATTTTAGAGGGAATTTCACTCAATGCCATTTTAAAGTAGAACTGCGCTAAACTTGAAGTGAATTGGGCATTAACACTGTTGTGTCACCCATTTCCAAAGCACTGCGTTGATTAATTGACTATGCATAAAAATCTGCTTTGTTTGAAAGTTTGCTTATCAATGCTTACTTAAAACATGTTGAATTTTATAAGTGTTTATGTTATAATGCCACAGATTGTAAGTATTTGTAAATTATATTGATATTTAAATAATCAAATCTCATTTTCTACTTTATTCATACTCCAAGCCTCACTGGCCGAATGATCCAATATTGGAGGAAATTATTCCCGTCTCAAGTTAAGAACCAAATTTTAGAACCTTCTGTGACTTTTTAAATTTCTTTACATTGGTCCTTGTGAATGAGGTGACGTAAGAGTTTCATGCAAGTATTAAACAAATTGTTCTGTCGAGCTTATTTTTCATATCCCTCAATATTCTAATGTAGTTTGATCACTTGGACAGCTCAGTCTTTGAAATTGATAGAGAAATTTAAATTGATTTTAATTTCTAAGTGATCTAGGTACAAGATCTGCTACCCTGCTGCGCAGCTACTTAGCCTGTGTCTTTCAGAGGCAAAAATTACCATAACGTACATGTTAATGCAAACTGATCCATTCAACTTGTAGCAGCATACTGAGTGGTATGATCACAGAATGGTGAGAATTCATGAAACATTTTTATTGGAAACCACTGCAACAAATATTGCTCCTTGGTTCAATGTGAGAGAGAGAGATGATACGGAGCTATTTTTCTTACACATTGAGTCAATGAAGAACGTCTGTTCTTATTTTCTAATAAGAATTTACAATGAATCCTCACAAATTTGATGTTACGCTACTCAGTGTAAGGCGGCTACATGTTATTGATCAGTTTCTTGCGTTAACTCGGACATTATGGTAATTATTGCTTCTTTCAAACACAGACCAAAAATTAGCAGCTCAGTGTAGTGGCGAATCTTGCTCTCAGAATCACCTGATAAATGGTCTGATAATATGCAATAATGCTACTTATTTTGAATACATATTAATAATTTGTCGAGTTTGATAATTACAGAATATGAAAAGATGGGCGTACTTACCTAGTAAGAATTTTCTTTGTTTGTATCAATGATTCATTCCAAACGGCCTGACCACTTTCCAGTTGGTTAAAGCGCTAGACTTATTACTGATGCTCCTTAACTCACTGATTGAAAACATTTAACTTTCAAGCTAAGAAATCTGCTGTAAAGTCATAACTGGCCACAGTATGTAAGTTTTATTTGAAGAATCAGGATTTGAACACCTAGTCTACACTTCAATTTCTGAATCGAGCATGGTTTACACTTTCCAACCATCTATTAGTCAGTTAGTCTGTTATTCAAGATGGTGTCATGATGCCGTTTTAAGCTAGGAACAGGTAATTTTGCACCCATTGCAGGTGGTCTGGTATAGGCTCTGTACCCTTGATATCAGATGATTTGGGGGGGCTTGGAGTGCCAGATGTACAAATGCAGTTTTGCTATTTCAAGAATAAGTGTTCAGAGTTCCAAAATTACTTGGCGCCATATGGCGGAGGTAAGGTTCAAACTCGCTTCTTAATGCTTAAAAATTGGATTTTTGTGATGAATTTTTCACAGAGAATATATCCTAAGACTAGTTTACGTTGAAACCATTTCCCAATTTTTACCAAAAACGCACTCGTGTGCCTTGCCTTCCAAGCCCCTCATTTGATGGTTTTCAATGTCATCATTTCAACAGCTCACTCTAATTGTGATGGTTGAGGAAATTGAACACCAATTTATGTTGTTTTGAGCCTCAGAATTAAATCTCCTTGTTAGGGCTGCCTCTACCTAAATTGATCAACAAAACTTTGAGGGTTCCCAATCAGGGCCGGATTTACCTACATGCCGCCCCCTTCTCATTCGTTTTGAAACATCAATGAAAACCATGAAATGCACGTGCCAGCGGGGGAGGGGTGCATAAGACGCGTTTACTGGTGTTGAACACATTTTTTGGGAAAGCCCTGTCAACACTTCTAGCAAAAGTTCACGGAACTTTGCGCGAAAGTTAAGTTTCGTAAACCTATCTCTGTGTAGACAAGGCCTTCCATTCGTAAGAAATGAACGAAAAAATTATGAAAGAACAAACATAAATGTGGATTCGTGATTTTAACTTCCACCGCCGCGCCTCGCAGACCGCACTGTGTTTGACGCAATGCGTGAGGTATTCATGCATTCTTGTAGGCGCTATCCGTTTCACGCTGTCCGCAATGACCGCACTGTGTTTGATGCAATGCGTGAAGTATTCGTGCAGTCTTGTAGGCGCTAATATGTGTTACATGCCGATCGCCGCGCCGAGGGCTTCTCCTATTCATCTCAAGTCCTCGTCATCATTTCTCTCTAGGTAAGTCGCGCCGTTCCAGGCCAAATTGCGTGTTTGGTTTCTCTCTTAACTCTACTAATTAAAGGTGCTGTCTCTTGTATCACTGAAAGACGACAAAAGTAGAAATTACTATACTCTCAGTAAATTAGAGATTTTGTCGCCTTTTCTGGTTTGTAATTGTTTTTCTTAATCCGGATTTTTTTTTACCTACATTTAAAAAAATTGCAAAATTTGCCGCCCCCTATAAATTTGCCGCCACGGGCCGCGGCCCATGTGGCCACCCCCTTAATCCGGCCCTGTTCCCAATAACTCGCAGAGAATTAATCTGATATCTTGGGAAAATAGCTCCAGTTAAAGAGGACAAGCAGCCAATTAACTGACAAACATCATCTCTTCACACATCAGAGCTTTCTCATTAAGTACCTATTTTAGGCTCTAATACACACAAAAAAAAAAAATAAAAAAATCCATTAGAAATATTCAGGCAACAGCTTAAGTTCTTGAAAAAGAGTCAATATAAATTTGAGCTGTTAAAGGCTTTAAATATCGCCTATGAAACTGCAAGAACGTGTATCTCGGTTTGCTAAATTGCAGGCTTCCTCTCGTACTTCACTTTTTCAAGAAAAAAGTACTTAATGTCATTTCTTGAAAGCTTTTCCAATTTTTCTTTTCACATACCTTTTCTATGAAAATTTTGACATTATAGCCTTGATCTATTCTCCTTTGATAAAATATAAAATTTTGAAATTGAAATTTTTTAAATTTCGGGGATAAATGTAGGTACTGTAGAGTTTATGGTGTCACTGGAAGTACAACTTAGAGTGGAAGTTGCGAAATCTTGGCAGTATTTCATAAAAAAAAAACCTACTATGTGTTGCATACAAACCTATCTCTTGATGACCTTCATTTGTACGAGAACAAATAGTGTTATTTGAGGTTTGAGAGAATAATAAAAATTGAGACTTTGAATTTTTATATTGTCTTTATTATTTGATTTAGAAAAAAAATAAAAGAAAGAGGATACATGTTACAAAAACGAAAAAAAAATTGAGGTACTAACTTCTCTAAAGAAATTATCCGCAGTTCTGAAACTTTAAGCATTTGCTATCAAACTTAGAAGAGCGCAATATGTAAAATATTTTGGCAAAATAGGTCAAAGTGGTAAACTAAAATACCCAGGTACAATATAACCAGCTATCTCCGTCAAAATATAAGAACCACTTGTTAACACTACTGGAAAACAAGTGAAAAAAGTGCTGTTGCAAACCCTAATTGAGAGGAAAGAGTATTCAAGCAGTATAATTGAAAAATAGGACTAACAGACTAAGATAAAGCAAACGTCATGTAAAAATTGCAAACTGCATTTGATTCTCTTTCATTTTACTTCTTTAAGATCTTTACGATCGAGCAACAGACAGGAGGTAGGATACAGATTACTTTGGTAAGTTTCAATAGGTCTGCTGTAATGAGTAGATACAAGGGAAATTTAGAAGCACTATGCTAGAGAATTGAAATCTTAACTTGCAGGAATGCCCTTATCTGACTGCTTTATCTAATGCCCCGTCTGGGGGGCCACGTCAGGTATCGAATAATGGAAACCACCAATAAAAGACTGAAAAAATGCTGTTTTGGGCTCTGTTTGCTGAAGCTAGGCCAATTTTCTATCAAATTAATGAAACATCATCATTTAATGGGTAAAAGAGTGCAGAAAACCCACACACAAAATAAATTTCATTCTTGCCCAAAAAACCAGTCTTTGTCTTGTCAGCTATAAGTTTCTTGTATTTTAGTAAAAACTCAATTGCGACTGTGTCGGATAATTGGGGCATTACTGTGGTTATGGAACATTGCAATTATTGACAGTTGTTGAGATCAAACCTTTTTAGTTTCACTATCAATCAGTGCCTAGATGCTGTTGACTGGCTAGCAAGTCTATGAATCTTTTGAAAGTTATTGACAAAGAACCTACTCCCAAAAATTAAATGATTCTTCAGGTTATTTATTTTCTTGATGTCTTAACAACAAGACCTTTTCCCTTACATTATCCGAGCTTGTTATACACCGTCTTATTGGGGATATATTTCAGAGCTTTTATCATGGAAGGATTCTAGAAGAAGCCCAAGGAAATGTTAACAACATGAACGACATTAGTTTCTCTAGAGTCTAGACATACAACTGATGACTTCTTTCTTTGATTAAATTCTGAGTACCTAGGCATTGGAATAAATTTCAAAATGTAAAAACCGTGCTCCAAGTATTTTTACATCACTTCCGTTCATTTTGTGATCTCAGTAGGTGCTTAAAAAGCAAAACACCAGAGTTGCAAACGATACAATGCCATTGCATCATTTGCAATGATATGATACGCTTATTGTGTGACTCACACAATCAGAGTTGTTTCACTGGATGATTTGCTTCGTCGGTGGTAGATTTCAGAGCATTTAAGCTCAAAATTTCTTTGAGGCAGACTGTTAAAAATGTTTGCTGTTTGTGGTACCCATTGCAATGTCTCCCCAACAGCTCAAATAGGCGATTAGGAATCTGTTTTTCCCACTCTGATGATAAAATGACTTGGAAACTACTAATGATAAAGCAGAGGGTCCAAGGTGATTAGGATATCCTCATTAAATCATTTTGACGACATCTGCATTGTGCATATTATGATGGATGGATATTTTGAGAACAATTCATGGAAAGATAGCATTACATTGGGGAAAAAGAGAAAACGGACTATGGACATAATAATGAATCAAAGAATACTTATATGTAAAATACGGCATCACCAAATTTTTACTTTTCCACACACTGCAACATTAAAAGGTACCTACTTAAAAGTCTTAAAACTACAACTAGAATT